AAGGGTGTTGGTCTAAAGGCCAACTTGAGTGAAAAAGGAATTTATTGGTGTACATAGTTGAAACAAAACCTACACATCCCTGGATCCAAGAGGTGGATCCAAGTGCTGGAATAACATGTCTGGAACCTGCCTCACTTCTGGGTTCTGTTTGCCCTCCTTCAGGTGTGTCCTACACCATCTTGTGAGGACAAAGATGGCTGCCATTTAGCAAATGCCTCTGGAGGAAGAGATCACTTCCTGAAGAGTCCCAAGGCTGTCCCTCACTGGACCAGCTTGGTTCATGTTGTTACTGGAGTTTTAGGGTAAAAGCCTTGGCTCTGGGGTCCCCAGCGGCTCAGCCTCTTGTACCAAAATAGTAATCAAGGCGACAGGCAGTGATGAAGGCCAGGAAAGGAGCTTTCATCAGCAGGGTCATTCTGGGAAGCACAGACAGAGACCCAAGATCTGTCTTAGAGGGGCTGACAGAGCACTGGGGTTGTGTACAAAAGGGCAACAAAGACAAAGGCTGGGGTTCACATAGCTGGCAGCTTCTGTGACCCTGGTCCAGTCGGGTCTGGTTGATCGGTATCTCAGGATGGTTTTGTGAGGTGGCTCTGGAGAAGTCCCTCTGGCTGGAGAGGGCAATCTGGTTCCCGTGAGATGATCATTCCTGCTTGAGGAGAGGGTCACCTTATCTTGGCTGGTCGGCAAGGCTCTGCTTTTCCTGGAATCCGAGATGACTGCTGGCTTAGGACAAGGACTGGAGATTTCTAGCCATCACTCCACAGGGTCTGGAACAGGACATTGTCAAAACTAGCAAGCGGAGTCCCTGAAAATCCTGAAAATGCCTTAGTTACTCTTATCTTGGTGTCCTTGGTTTTGGTACCAGGGATCGAAGTTGGGACCTTGCACTTGCGAGGCAGGCAGCGGAACCGCTGAGCTAAATCCCTGCCCCTGTCCTTGATTTTGAAGGAAGATGAGATAGGTTAGGTAAATGTAGGGCTTACAAACTTTTATTACTAGTTTTTAGACAAATGTTTCTTAAGTGATTAACATGTCTATGTGCAGAGCTAAGCACAGATCTGACCCAAAGTTTTAAAGTAATAAAAGAGATGGTTATAACATGCAGGTCGAGATGCTGAGCTTCATATCACTTGTAGTTTTCCATGGGCACCTGCAGCCTCATCTCTATGTCCTTGTTATAAGGCAACCATCCTCAAGATCTTGCTGAGGATGCTGCTTCTGGGTCATATGCTGGGAATGACTGTGGGCTTAACTTCCTATGATCCACATGCAGAATTTGCAGGGATAGATTCTGAAGGGCATCCTGAGAAAGGAGAAATGAATGCTGAGCAGGATAAAGCAAAGGATTCTCACTATAATAGTTTTGTCTTTGCCCCTTCATTTAAATGTTTTTTACATGTATTTGAGCACCTACTTCTTGTGGAGCAACATTGAACCAAGTGAATATGGTCCAGATCCCCAGGGCCTTCTTTTGTCTGCTCCTTTGCTGAATGGCAAGGCAGCTGCCCTCTCTGAAGGCTTGAAGAGGGCAGACTTGTCTCAAGGGGAATGGCCTCTTATTCAGGCTAAGGTTGGCCTTTGGTCTGTGGCTCAGCATGGAGCTCACCTAAAGTCTCACCCTCACCCTGCCCCGGCCCTGTGAGGGTCACACTCCCAGGCTCTGCAGCAACTTCAAGGGCAGCCCCAGTGATGATGAAGAGCCCACATCACCTGGGAAAGAAAGAGCAAGGCATGTGGCACTGCCTGTCCAGTCTGGCATGACCAGAGGCAGGGAGTGTTGTCCAGGAGGAAGTACAGGCTCCTGCAGGACCCTCAGGGGCCTTTGGCCTCTGCCCTGTTGAGCTCCACCAGATCCCTAAGGTGGGTGTCAGTGATCTGTGTCTTGCAGGGGACAGTGACCGGATCCTGTGCCTGGCCCTGCAGGCATATGGTACATCTGCCAGGATGCAAACGTCACTGCAGGGCACTGGAGAAGTTCCTCCTTTGGTGGTGAGTCACAGTTGAATGGGGTGGGAATTCATCCGCATATTCCAGATGACTGTGGCAATTATGCACAGGGCCCTGTTTCTGTCTCCCTGAGCTGCTCAAATGCCCCAGCCACTTCCCACACTCGGAAGCCTGGCAGGTATCCCCAGACTCTTCCCAAGCTCCAGCAGGATGCGTGCAGAGGGTTGGGACCCTGTATTCTGCTGATTGCTATATATTTTGAATACCACCCCTAGGCTGGCTTGATGACTTTTTGCGCTTCTTGCCTCCTTGTCAAGGTGACTGGATGTGCTTTTTCACCCTCAGGAAGCCTCATCTGAGATGCCTACCTTTCTAATTCCCAGAGATGCTAAGCAGTGGTAACACTGATTGCATACCTACTAGGACTGACGGGTCTTCGTGCTCACTGCTTTCTCCTGAGAAAAACCCTGCAAGTGGGAGATGATGAGTATTATTATCCCTGTCTTAGAGGTGGGGAAACTGAGTCTTACGGAGTTAACACCACAGTTGAGAACTCAACTTTCTCTAGTGATGGAAAGAAGTTTTGTTACAGCTATATCCTTCCTTTTCTTCCTTCCTTCCTATCTCTCTCATTTAATTCTTTATGATAGACATTTTCAGCATAAACAAGGACAATGAATGCCCCAGTACCCATTAAGCAGCTTCAACAATGGCCAAGTTGAGAACAACCTTGAGCCTACCTGTACATTTGCCTTATTTATTCATTTATTTTTTGTAAAGCAAATCCCAGTCCTCGTAAACCCATAAACCTGTAAACGCTCCAGCATGATTTTCTTTTTTCTTTTTCTTTTTTTTGGTACCCGGGATTGAACTCAGGACCTTGCACTTGCGAGGCAGGCACTGGAACCACTGAGCTAAATCCCTGGCCAAATAAGTTCAGTCTTTTTTTTTTTTGGTACTGGGGATCAAACTCAGGTCCTTGCACTTGCAGGGCAGGCAGTGGAACCACTGAGCTAAATCCCCAGCCCTCCAGCATGATTTTCTAATAGATTAGGATTAGGATTTACAAAAGAAAGAAAATACCAGGCATGGTGGCCCGTGGTTGTAATCCCAGCACCCTGGGAGGTCAGGAGGGATGGGGTGGAGGTTTGGGGTAGGGAAGAAGGGTAGGCTGGAGTTCACTGGAGTGGGAAAGGTAAGGTAGGGTGGTATTGTTTCTGCAATAATAATAGGCCATGTTCATCCAGGCTTGCAGTCTGCAAGGCTCTGTCTTACTATGACTTTATTTTAACTTGCTTTGTTCTCACAAGCGCCTTGGGCTGGATCTTGCTCCTGAGAGGGGAGCTGGCCATCCTGGGGGTAACAGAACACCCCAAGCTTGCCAGGATGGATGCCCAACCCAGGACACCCACATTCAACCGGTGTGCTTGGTACATTGGGGATTTACAACGTGCTGCCCTCTTTATTATTGATGATCAGGATTCAGCTACTAATATTTACTAGCTCATTTCCTGTGCTTAACACTATTATTATTACTATTATTAGCATTATTGATTTTCAAAAATTGAGCTACTATTTATTGATTGTCTACTAAATGCTTGGTCCCACCTAAACAATTTGATGATATAACAGCAACCATAATAATGACAATAATCATAACAGCTGACATTATTTAGGATTAATACAAACAAAAGTCTGTCCTAAATGAGTTATTTGTTGTTAGTGCCATTTTTTTTTTTTGTATCAGGGATCGAACTCAGGACCTTGCGCTTGCGAGGCAGGCGGTGGAACCACTGAGCTAAATCCCCGGCCCCTGTTAGTGTCATTTTAATGACCAAGATTTGAGTCCTGATGGTGTGTCAGTTCCAATACTACTACTACTACTACTGATTAAAATGTATTTGGGCACTTCATTTATATCCATGCCTGGGCTAAGTATTATTAACAATAATAATAGTGTATCTTGGGGGTATTAAAATAATAATGCTGATAATGACAGCCAGTATATACTGGGCATTTGTTATATTCCAGAGTAAAACATTAAATGAGATATAACAACGTGAATGTGTTTTGGTCATTTTCTGCACGTATAACCCTATCACATCACAAGAACTATGGTGATGTTTTCTGAGTGTCCATTACATCTGAACGCTGGACTGGCACACTCACAGCCATAGTAGGGCTGGCTTCTCATGGTCCAGGTGACTGCTAAGCACCTCAGATATGATTGCACTGATGCCTCACTGTGCTGAGGAGGAAACCAAAATAAAAAATAAAAGAGGGCTGGGGATGCAGCTCAATGTGAAGACCCTGGATTCAATCCCCAGTATCACACATACACACACACACAAGTGTAAATTGGCTAAGACAAGATATTTAGTAAGGGCATAAAAGTGTTTGATCACTCACTAAATAAAACATTTAACTGCCACTTACTGTCAATGACCTCCCACTCTGCCCCTAGCAGTTAAGATGCAATCATCAGTGATCCTAAATCAGGTTACATTCCTCGCACCTTGAAGCCCTCCCATGACTCCGTCTCATTTGGAATGAAACCATGGCTGGTGAGACCCTGCAAAACTTGTCTTTGTCATCTGTCTGCCCTTATCACCTCCCACTTGCCCAGAGCACACTCTGCTCTAGGGACAGTGAACTCCCAGATGTTAGTACATCATCCCAGGGCTTTTGCCCTGGCTACTCCCTCTGCCAGAAACACGGTTCCTTGAAGTCATTGTGTAATGGATGTGTTCTTATCCTTCAAGTCTCAACTCAAGAGAAGCCCTCTGTGCAAAGAGTCGCCCTTCCCAGTCTTTCCTTACTCTACGTCCCTCCCCCATTTTCTTTTCTTCAAAGTATTCATCAATATCTTAAATCCTTTCTATCAATCACTTCTTCATTTATTATCTGTCTTCCTCCTGCCAGGCTGAAAGTTTTCCAATGGCAGGGACTTAATTTTGTTGAAAAAACAGAGAAAGATAACAAACCAATACCTAAGTAAACAGGTGTGTTCAAAGGTAAACGTTTGTCCTGGAGACAAACAAAGCAAGGATAGGGGTGAGAGGGCAGTGAGGTGTCACATGTTAAAGAAGGGGCCAGCAGGGCAGCATTGGAGCAAAGGCCTGGAGCAGATGAGGAGGGGTCTCTTAGGCCAGGAGGACAGAGGATCTGTGCTGAGGAGGGGCCAGTGGAGAGGTGCAGAGGCGGCCACAGTACCTCCTGTGTTGGGGACAGCAGGAGGCCACGTCACTGGTACAGGTGAGCCAATGAGAGAAGGCAAACACAGGGAGGTGACGAAGATCCATTTCATGGGACTGCACAGGCCACAGTGAGGCGTTACCAGGAAACCACAGAAGAGTTTTAAGTCAGGCACGGTGACGCACATCTGTAATCCTAGCTTCTCAGGAAGCTGGAGCAGGAGGATCGTGAGTTTGAGCCCGGCCTGGGCAACTAGTGAGACCCTGTCTCAAAATAAAACTGTTTTTTAAAAAGGCTGGGAATGTAGCTCAGTGGCAGAGTGCTTGCTTAGCATGCATGAGGTCTGGTTCCATCCCCAGCACTCAAAATACTAAAATATAAAAGAAGTTTGAGCAGGGAAGGGGCAGGACTTGCCGGGTGCTATGTGGACAGTGGCCAGCAGGGGTAGGGTGAGGGTGGAGCTGGGCCGAGCACAGCTGCCTGACATAACCCAGACGTCTGGTGCAGGGTCCCAGGCCTGCCCCTGGCCTGCCCCTGTCTGGAGGAACTCTCTGGGCCTTCTCCACATTCTTTCTCAGCTGCTGCAGTGTCACGATCCCTTTCACAGGTCCATGTGCTCTGGATGCCAGTTCCTGAAATCTACGTGAAGATCTGTGGCCGGGGCAGACACTTTTGCCTGGAGACTCAGGACGACCTCAGTGGCCCCCATAGCATGTAGCCCTTGCCCCTGAGCCCAGCTCCCACATCCCCCCCTCGGAGGATGCAGCCTGATACCGGCCTTCTGTGGCTTGCTGGGTACTCGTCATGGACCCGATAGAGCCTGCAGTCAGGACAGGCGCACATGGAGAACTGTGCCCACAAACTCTATGCTGCCAGGGCTCCCCGGAGACCTCGTGTGTCATGCTGGAGAACTGTCCACAGCAACGCCAGTGACACAGGCTCTGTGCAACCCTGGAGACTCCTGTGGCGTGCAGCGAGTGTGTGTTCCCAAGAGAGTGTCTTTCCCAGCCTGATCTCTCCACCTGGCCCAATACTACCTCCAGGAGGAGTCCTTGGTCAGAGCCACCCACATTGAGCCCCTGCCCCTCTGTGGACTAACTGTCCCCCTTAAGGCCCCACCTGCTTCAAGCTCTTGAGCAACAATGATCGATGGCTCTGACAGCTGTTGGATTGGTCTGGACAGGCTTCGCTGTGCTGCAGTAACAAGTTCACCTGAACATGGCTCCACCAAGGGCTGTTGCCCTTGCCTACGAATTCCACAGTAGTCTCAGGGCATAGTTCACGTTCACATCCGCTCTGTGAGGCCACCCCGGCAGCACACGCACTCTGATTTGCAGTACTTCCCTTCGAGCATCACCCATATTATTTGTGCTCATAGCTCTTGGCCAGAACCAGTTCTGGCCAATGTGCCAGGGCAGGTGCCAAGCTGGACAATGAGGAAGCAGGTGGATATCATGAGGGCTCCTAGTGCCTCTGCCAGGTGTGCTGGTTCATTTAATCCTCCACATCCCTCGCTGAGGGAAGTGCTGTTACTACAGTGGGCCCCGATTTACGAATTCAATTAATTCCTGAGGGCTGGTTGCAACTCATGTTGGTCAATTGCCTTCAAAGTCTCTCTCCTGTATAATTTTAGGCCACACTTTCTTCCAGGCAGATATGGGTGTCCTTAGAGAGACATTGGCCCAGGATTTCTCAGTTAACCCCGCACAGGAAAGGATGTTGTAATGTTCCTTCCAGAACTCTTTAGGGATTAAGTCTGTATCTGAGATCATCTGGAAGCACATGTGGCCGGCATTTGGGTTAAAACTCAACTTTGGTTTTAAGTTAAAACTAAAATGCCAGTCGTAATGCAAGTTGTTCGTATGTCAGGATGGTTGTAACTCAAGAGTCCACTGTTTTGCAGATGAGGAAACTGAGGCCCAGAGAGGCCAAGAAACTTGTGCAAGGTCACCCAGAGTCAGCCAGAAACACGACACTGTGGCTCCCTGCTGCCTTTGGGATAAAACCTGAGCTCTTTAGCTGAGCACTGACTTGCTCCCTTGCCCTTCACCTGTTTCTGTGTTGGGGTTCTGGGGTGTGGGCAACTCCCACAGTCCTCAGGCAGCTTGCTGATGCTCTTTAGAGGCCCAGATGTCCATATGCCAGTGGGCCCTGGCCTCCGAAGGGTGGAATGGAGGGGGAGAGGTGGATGCAGAAGTATGTCCTACCCATGAGAGTTGGCACTTTTTGCCAGATGGGAGTGTGTTCTCAGTGGAGTTCATGGCCTCGTTTGTAATCCCAGTCCCATTACTTGGTAACTGTGTGATGTCAAGCAAGCCATTTAATATACCTGAGCCTCAGTTTCCTCATCCATAAAGGAAGGGGGGTGATGAAAGAAAGTCCTTGTAGGGTTATCGTGAATTACGGTAAGATGGCATCTAAAAGGCAAACTTCTGGTAATTGCTGAATTATAAATAGCTCTATTCACCAATAAAATGATAATAATCGTTCACCATTTCTGACTAACATGGTTTTCTTTAGTGAATTCAAGAAGAAAATATTAAGAATTATGGGGATAATGCCCAGGAGAACATATGCAGAGCCTGCTGATAGTCAGTGATCAAGTAATATTTCAGACCCATCACCAACACCAAACTACCACTACCATCATTACCAACCATCACCCCATCACCGCCATCTTCATTACTGTCAATACCATCGTCACCACCATCAGCACTTCATTACCATCATGTCTCCATCATCACCACCCTAACTACGCTGTCTCCCAGTGAAGCCTCTCCCTACCATCCCCCTCTACCCTAGGACCTGCCCCTGGCCTTTCAGCCCTCTCTGTTCTTCGGTCATCGTCTGGTTGGAAATGCTGAGTAATAGCCCGGGTTGTCTGGTCGCGTAGGCCCCATCTGTCTTCGTCCGGAGCTGGCTGTGCCAACGTGACTCAGTACCAACCTGGTCTCTCAGCATCTCTCTTGGTCTGTGATATTATTGGCTTAGTCCTCAGGCTGCGTTTCGGTTTGTTTTTGTTTCCTGGGGACAAAATGACAGCAGAGTTACTAGATTTTAAATGTGTATTTCTGACTGTCAAAAATACAAATCTTTTCTTATCCCAAGTATTAAACAAAATTCCCCTCCTTCCCCTCCCCTCCCCTTCTCCCTTTCCTTCCCATCTCTTCTTTTCCATTACTGGAATGGAACCGAGGACCTTGTGCATACGAGGAGAGTACTCCACCCCTGAGTTACACCCCGGGCCCTTTTAAAAATTTTATTTTGTGGCGGGGTCTCTCCAGCCCAGGCTGGCCTTGAGCTTTGTTCCCCCTGCCTCATTCTCCACAACAGCTGGGATTACAGGTGTGCACCACCATGCCCCCAATTTACACAAAATTTGCATACTTCATTTTCATTGGCCCCCACTAAGCCAATTACTGGGGCCCAGAGATTGTTTTAAGCCTATTGGATCCTATTCTCACAAGCCTTAGGTGGAACAGATCCCTCAGCAGCCCTCACCGCTGCTGCTGGCAGGGAGAGGGGTTAAAAAGCGAGCCCCCTCCTGTGTGATCTTATTCCTCAAACCAGTATTTCTTGTTGCAACAATCTTCAAAAAATGTAAGTGCCTGGAAAACCTCTCCTCTGAGACCTGAAGATTTTGTCCAGGATCCACAGGGTGGGTATGTTTTCCATGCCTGAGGGGCCCTGCCTACAAAAGTCTCTTTGTTGGTTGTTGGAAACACACAGCCACAGCCCTCCAGCTCCACCCCTTCCAGGAAGGGAACCAGCTTTCAGAATTAGTCATGCTGTCCTGGACCCACACAACCACCCCATTGAATCCAAAGGGCAGCCCTGCAGGGGGACAGCTATTATTATCCCAGCTGTACAGATGGGGAAACTGAGGCTCAGGACCGAAGCCGGGCTGCTTGAGGTCACACACAATGAGAATGTGGCGGAGGCCAGATTTGAACCCAGGCTGTCTGTCTCTGAGTTCCTTTCTTCTCTACCAGTGGCTTGGGGGAAGGGGGGGGGGTCCTAAATTGTACCTGACTGAAGGATGATAGGGTGTGTGTGTTGTCTATTTTGGGGCCTGATGTAGAATGAGTAACTCTCAAGTATGGTTTTTTTTTTGGTACCGGGGATCGAACTTGGGTCCTTGCACTTGCAGGGCAGGCAGCGGAACCACTGAGCTAAATCCCCAGCCCCTCAAGTATGGTTTTAATTCTTTTTTTTGTTTTTGTTTGTTTGTTTGTACTGGGGATTGAACCCAGGGCCTTCACATTGAACTACATCCCTATCCCTTTTTATTTATTATTTGGAGACAGTCTCCCTAGGTGGCTAAATTGCCCAGGCTGAGCTCAAACTTACCATCTTCTACAACAACCTGCCAGTGTGCTGCGATTACAGGTGCACACCATGATATTTCCTGGACACCTGCGATGTGCCAGACCCTCAGGGCTGGGGAAACAGTAAGTGGAAGGGCCAAGGTCCTTCCCTCTCAGGCCTGTGGTTCCCAAGCGGAGAGGCCATAGCATAACCAATCCGTGTATACCACACAGTATGTCAGAAAGTAGCTCGTGTCCATGCTGCAGGAAGATATGAAGAAGCGTGTGGGGAGAGCGGATCAGAGGAGGGAGCTCAGGTGCCCGGGTCAGAGGCTGCGGCGGCATCGCCCGCTGGGGGAACCTCGGAGGCCCACGCATAGTGGGGAGTGAAGCGACGGTGAGGTGGGAGAGGGGGCCGGGACCATAGAGGGAAATTAAAGGTCATGGGTCCCTTGGAGTTAGGAGGAGCCGCCGGGCCGAGCTGGAGCTGGAGGCCCGCATGTGCCTGAGGGGTCACAGGCTCCCTCTGGCTGTGGGTGGAGACAGACTGGGGCCCGCTGAGACGTCCCAGTGGGAAGGCAGTCGGGGACAGAGGCAGGTGCAGGGTGAGGGCCGTGAAGGGGAAGAAGCAGATGTTCTGGAATGTTCTCTAGAGTCTTACCCTCTCTGGGACTCCGCTGCCTGTACCTGGGGTTCTCAGTCACACGGGCCCCTGGGGACCTTTTATCACCCCACCACCAGCACCACTGGCCGTGCTCAGGGTGGAGAGCCAGTCCTAGGGTGGGATCTCAACTTGGACCCTGAGTTCACTGTGATTTGCCCCCAGGAACAGAGCCCCAGGGCCACAGGGTCCTCCATTGGGAGCATGAGGCGCCCAGCAGCCTTGAGTCCAGCAGCCTGGCGGCCGGGACTGCAGTGGGAAAGAGCGAGTCAGCCGCAGTGGGGACCCGGCTCGGGCATGTTCAGTGGTGTGGAGTTGGCCGTTGTGTGCTGCACCTGTTCTGTGCAGGCTGAGGCACGGAGCAAGGGGGGCACTTGGCCCAGGGTGCCAGCCAGGCTCTGAGAACAGCAGACTCATCCTCCCACCTCTGCAGCCAGGCAGGATCCTGCCAGCCTGTGCACTCAGAAATAATCTCCTCCTCCTCCTCCCTCTTCTTCTTTTTGTGCTACTGGGGACTGAACCCAAGGCCTTTGCGCTGAGCTATATCCACAGCCCTTTTTATATATTTTTATTTTGAGACAGAGTCTCACTGTCACTATGTTGTAATCCTCCTGCCTCAGCCTCCCAGAGTGTGGCATTACCAGCACGCACCTCCATACTCAGCTTCAGAACTCTTTTCCTTCCCCAGTTTCCTTGCCCAGGCCTCAGAGCCTCAGGGGGCTTTAAGTCACCCACAGCCAAAGCGGGTAGAGCAGGGCACTGAAGGCCCACAGGCCGTGAAGGGCAGAAGACATTGTGGGAGAGCAAAGACAGCACCGGCTTTTACCTAAAAAAGAATCTCTCACTCTCACTTGTCACATATACAGCATAGATATGTAATTTCTTACATTCGGTTAAATTCTATTTAACTTTCTGGTCACCTGATTCTAAATGTACTTTCCCTCTTCTTTCTTTTGATTTTGCTTTTTTATCTTTGTGGTTCATTATTTTGTGTTAACATTAATTTTACATTTTTAATTGATTTTTCCCCAACTCCTAGAGTTTGAGTTATTTTGACTATAGAAATGTTCAATGAGCAGTGCAATGAACCTGAATACATTTTATGGAGATTCATTGGTTCTTTATTTTTTTAAACCCCTGGTAATGGGGCCGGGGATTTAGCTCAGTGGTTCCGCCACCTGCCTCACAAGTGCAAGGACCCGAGTTCAATCCCCGGTACCCCCCCCCCCAATAAAATAAACCCCTGGTACTGGGGATTGAATTCAGGACTTTTCAGTTGTGAGGCAGGCACGGTGCCACTGAGCTAAATCCCTGGCCATTGATACTCTGTCTCATTTGCTTTCTTTCTATGTCTCTCTGTCTCTGTTTTCCCCACTCCATATATATAAAATACATATTTTCCCACTGAGTTTTTGGTATTTCAGGAATCTTTCACCACTCCTGCTTACCTTCTCTGTTATTGTCAGTTGAGCAAGAAAACCTTTTTCAGGAGGGAAGTCACAACTGGGAATGAAGGCCAGTTAGGACAGGTCTCTGGAGAGAAGCAAGAAACACAGCTCACTAGGCTGAGATAGCCTGGTATCCAGCAGTCTGCTTTCTGCTGCTGTAACAGAATGCCCAAGATAGGCTAAGTTATAATGAACAGAAATGTATTTGGCTCATGGTTCTGGAGGCTGGGAAGTCCAGGAGCACGGCACTGGCATCTGGTGAGGTCCTTTCTGCCATGCCATCCCTTGGGAGAAGGCGGAAGAGCAGGACAGGGAGAAAACAAGGGAGTGAGAGGGGCCAAACTTGCTTCTAGAACAAAAGACCTTGGTGAAGAGGGGCCCACTCTGCTGACGCCACACGAATCCTTCCTCGGGTCCCACTTCCCAACACTGCTGCACAGGAACTGAATTTCCAGCCATGCTCTTTGGGGACACATTGGAACCCAGCAGCAACCATTGTCTTCTGTAACAGTTTTCGAATTTAAGGAAACTTAGTAACAGTTGGGTTTAGCCCTGGCTCTGCCAGTTTGAGGTCCTTGTCTTAGGGACTGAGGCAGGGTAGGAGGAGGCTATGGGGTCCCCCACTGAGCCCGCTGTCCCTGTCCCAGCTGTGTGGAGCCCAGACAGGAAGCCTGCGCCCCTCCTGCTTCCCAGTAATTCTGGCTGACACCCAGGGCCCTGTCATCAGCCCAAGCCTCCACTGACACACTAGCTGGTCTAGGCCTGCCAGCAAGGCTGCTCCTCGATGGCCACCTTCCCAAGGGGAGCTCTACCCTCCCGGCTGGTGGAGGGGACCGGGGAAGGAGAAGAGCTCTTTTCTCTCATCATCTAACAAAGACGCCACAAGCACTGGCTATGCGCTAGGTATTGGTCTATAACGCAGATGAAAAGCAGCAGGAGAGGGTGGTGCACTACCAGGAGAGCCAAGAGAAGTTCCTGGAATGCATGTGGGGGTGATGTCATAGGGAATGGAAAGGACAGGATGGGGCAGAGGGCTGTAACTGGGGTGCAGGTCCCAGGAGAAGATGGCCTTTGAGCCAGGACTTGAAGGCAAACGAGATGTGCAGAGATGGGGGAAAGAACCCAGGCAGAGGGTCGCTGCTGCAGAGGCATCAGGGCCGAAGGATGCCTGGAACTCGCCAGGGATTACTATGCCCCGTATGAGAGATTATTGTATGCCTGCACTCAAAACACCTGGGAAAACTCACTGCCAAAGAGACCCAGCCCCTGACAGCAGGAAGTGACTCTACTTACCCTACTTCCCGCAGCCCTCCAAGCGGGTCTCAGGGTGTAAGTGCAGGCAGGAGTCTCCAGGTCTTCCTAGCTATCGGCCCCAGTTCAGTCCTATGCATATTGGAGCGTGGCATGCTCGGGTCCAGCCTAGGAAGAATTTGTGTTTGGCATGGTTGGGCATAAGCCCCATAAACATCTATGCTTCAGAATGTAAGTTCATGGTGGCCAAAGGTTCAGAATATGAGCTTGGCAAACTGAAATCAGCCCTTGTGTTTTGTTTCACCTTCCTAATTTTTTTTTTTTTTTAAGACAGGGTCTTGCTATGTAGTTCAGGCTGAACTTGAAGTCACTACATAACCCAAGCAGGCCTCAAACTCAGTGATTCTCCTGCCTCAGCCTCCCAATTTCTGGGATTACAGGCATGCAAGACCATGCTTGGCTTTCATAATTTTTAAAAATCTGAACCCACCTCTAATATTGGAATTCCCCATAAATATTCAGATTTTTGACATCTATTGAAAATACAGCAGCCAGTGGCTGGAACTGTGTCAAAATGTCCTTTAATGGTTTTAATTATAATTTGTAAAAGGTTGTACATTTTCAGCACCTAAAATTCAAAGGAGGACAGAGCGTGGTAGTGTCTTTCTGTAATCTCAGTACTTGGGAGGCTGAGGCAGGAGGACTGCAAGTTCAAACTCAACCTGGGTGACATAGTGAGGCCCTGTCTCAAGAACATTAATTAATTAAAATACAACTCAAAAGGTACAAGAGGTAGCATGATGATGGATGAGTCTCGGTTCTCCTGCATCCTCCAGCCTCCCAAGGCCCCGCCCCAGAAGCAGTCATGGCGCAACCTCCAAAGGTATTTTATTCCTACTTGATTATATGCCTACACATTCTTTCTCCTCACAAAGGTAGCACACTCAGCAGTTTCCCTACATCTTGCTTTCCTCCTTTAACAAGTTTACCCAGTGACCACTGCACCTTATGGCCTCACACCTGTCCTGCTTCAGTGTATCCCCAATTCTTGCCTGGCTCCTCTGGCAGCGCACAGACCGGGAGGCGTGAAGGGTAAAGCACCTGCCTTCTAGCCACTTGCCACCTTCTACTCTCGGGCGCCTGCAGTTCCGGATATGTCCAGCAGAGGGAGACACCATCCCACTCCCAAGACCACCAAGGGGTCTTCCCCCGGCGGCCCCGCCCCGGACCTTCAAGGTTAATGGATCTGGGGAAGAGATGTGGGTCCAGTCACAAAGACCCTCTTAGCCCACCTGGGATCCATATACCACCCTTCATCCAACCTCCCCAGGGCCTCTGCTTCCTCTGTTTCTCCTCCTGCGCTTCCTGGTTGGAGGGCCACCCTAATGCCCCTACTCTCCTGGTAGGGCCTGCACCCCACCCTTAATGGGAGTGGCAGGAGGTCTCGTCCTAATGTGAGGCCTGGAACTGAGAAATTGCCGGGGGATGGGGGAGAGCAGGTAAAGAAAGTGTGCAGCTGGGCGAGCATTGCTTGCTCCTGCCCTCCCTCTCGACAAGAAGTGGGGTCCTTCTTCCCGCCCCCAGCACCCCAGTCCCCACAGAGCTGTGACCCCAAGCCCTTGTCCTGTTCTGTGTACTCTCAACAGCACCCTCTCCCTGGCCTGGTGCCTGTGGCCCTCCTCCCCACCCCCACGAGGCTGTTGGCGGTGGTGGCCTGGAGTCCAGCTGGTGGCCAGGGCAGAACTACCCCTTCGCTGGCCTTGCCCCTCCCGGTGACCCCGATCCTCTGAGAGCCACTCAATGGGGCCTTGTTCTCCATCCAGCCTGGGGACAAAAGTCCCTCTGTCGCAGAAGGCGGAATTGGGGGCAGAGGGCACCCCCAGCAGGGGACCATGTGGGGGCCTGTTCAGACCCCAGCCGGAAGGAATGCCACAGGGAGGGGACAGGACAGGGCGGAGGTGGGGAGGAAGGAGCCTAGCACAGTGTAGGGCACCTCATCTAGAGTGGGAGGCCACCCCACCCCGGGCCCCCGGCCCGCATGCTTGGGAGGAGCTGGACTGGGGGACTCTGGTTTGGTTCTGGGGAGCAGTTCTGAAGTCTCCCCAAGGCAGGGTGGGGCTGCACCCGCCCTGAAGGCCCAAGCTCCCCCACCTGCCCCCACCCCTACTGCTGTTGTATTGTGTCCCTCACATCAGCGTCTTCTCCTGGCCCTCAATCTTGGTCAACAGAGAGGGTTGGCCTCGAAGGGCCTTTAAATCCCCTAGGAGTGCCAGCAGCCCTGCCCCAAACAAAACGCACTGACTAAATCGAAGAAGTAAGGCCCTTACCTGGATATTTCACCTTCCTCCATGGCCCTGCCAGACAGAGGTCTGCCACTAAAGACCCCAGCACCTGCCCCCGTCCTGGTCTCTTTCAGAGTTCAGGAGATTGGAGAAAGTGCCTCCCTACTTTGAGGGACCAAGTTCCAGCTTGCCCTGCTCTCCCTCCACCTCACCTGAGGCTGCTGTGGCCCTGGTGACCCAGGGAGCGCCCTGTCCGGTGGCTGGGGAGGGGGAGGAGCTGTCTCTTTAAGAGAGGAATGTGGCGCCCGAGCCCCTGAGCCTCGGGGAGACCGGCTGGTTCTCTACCTGCCCAGGTTTGCTCAGGGCGTGGCAGCTGAGGATAAAGACTCAGGCTTGGCAGCTACTTTCTCGCTCTCTCCCAGAACCTCCTCCTCCACTCAGCCAGGGAGCCACAGGTGAGCGGCTGGGGTCCCTCCCTCCAAGTGTCCCCAGCCACCCCCACCCCACCTCGGCTCTGCTCCAAGCTCTCCCTGCCTCTCCCCTCACTGCCCCTACCCCAGAGGAGCTCTGCTGTTAGAGCCCTTGGGATCTTCCCCTTTTAGATCCTTTCCTGGGGACAGGAGATTGGAGAAGGTCCGTCCTCTCCCCTTGGGTGACCCTTCCCACCATTCTCTGAGGGCCTTGGACAGCTGGGGTGAGGGTTGGACCCATTCAGGGGAGGCTTGGGACACCTGGAATGGTGGTATGTGGTAGATTGGAGGTGTTTGAATGGAGCAGAGGCAAATGGATTGGGGGTTGGGGGGAGATGAGGGTATCTAAATAGATCAGGGTGTTCAGGTGCATTGGGTGGATGGAGGTGTCTAGGCATTGACCTAGAGACTGCTAGGAAAGGGGGGATAGTTCCTGGAGAAGCTGAACAATGGGGAGCTGGTTAGGAGATTTGGGGGATGCAGGGGTGCAGTGAGAAACAGCCTATAGAGGGCTGGTGATGCAGGTGGTAAAAGAATTTACCAAGGCAAGAATAAGAAGAAAGACAAAGTTTATTCAGGTCAGTCAAGAGAGAGAAACAGCAGGCAAATTTCCAAGAGTGGAATCACGCCATGAGGGTGAGAGATGGGGGTTTTTGTAAGGGTCTGAGGACACGGAAAAAGAGCCTTGGTAGCAAATGGGATTCTTTGAAGAATATCTTTTTCTAGATCATCTGGCACCTTGTAGGTCTCCTAGGGGTGCCAGCACCATGTCTAAAATTGTAAGTTTAAAGTTGCAATTTGACAAGACCTTTTTTTTCCCTCACAGAAGGCCTTTTATTTTAGCTTCAGATAAGCAGATCAGTGCACACTGACTTTCAGAGGAGATGGTCAGGGCTCACGGGGAGGAATGAGTGAGTCTGACTCGGTCAGCTTTTGCTGTATTGTCTCAGGACTGTGGGCACTGCTGGGGGAGGCCGCAATGCAGGCATTCTGCTGTAGGGCTTCTTCCCTTTTGTTGCCAGTGGGTAGTCACTGCAAGGATCCTTCCGCATACCCTGGCAAATGAGGTTCATCTCCCTCCTTCGTCTCTTCTCAGTCAGGGAGGGAAGCTGGCTTGGTCGCCCCGCCACGCTGGGCTTGGCCCTGAACTTCAGATGCGTAGGACCAGGTCCTCTAGCTCTATGAACTGGACCCGGCCTCTAATTTGGGGACAGTCATAATTGAGGGAACTTTTACTCTCAAGAGGGGACAGCAGAGGGCAGATGGCCGAAATGGTCCTAGGACTGGGGTGGGGAAGGAACAGAGGCGATTGGACAGAGAGCCTCCTGCACTGCACCGACTGCTTCCTCTCTGAGGCTGCCCCGCAACTGCAGTCAGGTCATCGGGAAGCCGACAGAGGCCTCTGCAGAGAACAGCTTGGGACAGGAGCACCAGAGAGGGCGCCCAGCTGCCTGTAGCCTCCAGGTGGCCTGGCCTGGGGATCCTTGGGCAGAGAGACAGGGGCTTGCCTGACATCCCTCGCCTCCCGGGTTTCATGGGAATGGGGCTGCCAGGACCTCCCAGACCAGAGGGAGCCTGGAGGAGCCCATGGAAAAAGACTTAAGAAATGAGCCCTAAGAATCACTAGGTGACAGGGCATGGGACATTGAGCCGAATGAGCTGGGGGCGGGTAGTTTTTGACAGCAACATGGGGTAATGACAGTGCCAGCTTCTTCAAGCAGGGACCAGGGAATTAAGGTTAAGAGCTGAAAACAGGCCTGGGTGGGGTGAGCAACAACAAGCACTGAGCTTCCTGGGATCGCGTGGAAACAGAACCTCCTGAGGAGGCTTTAGACGGTCTGTCCACCTGTGGACCCGTGCCCCTGCCCACTGTGTCCCCACCCACCACCCTCTCCAGCTGCCCCCGAACCTTCCTGGGGTCCCACATGCCTGGGTAATGCTCCCTGAAGCTGCAGGCCCTCTTCCTGCCAAAAAGCTGCTCAAACTGAAGCTATGGGTATAGCGCTCGGAGCTAGTGGGGAAACCCGGAGCAGGCCGGAGCCCGGGGGGGTCACGAGGAGGGGCAAGAGTCTGCAGACTCGAAGGACGCACCTGCACCACGGTGGCTGGTGGCTGAGAGGCCAACCCCTCTCTGGGCATGGGCTTTGCCATTGGTGGAATGTGGGTAGGAAGGTGGGTGAGGCAGCACAGGTCTATAATTGCAGCACTCTGGGAGGCTGAGGCAGGAGAATCACAAGATTGAGCCCAGCCTAGGCAACTTTGTGACCCAGTGAGACCCTATGTCAGAGTAGGCAAATGAAAAGGACTGGAGATGTAGCTCAGTGCAAAGATTCGGGGCTCAACCCCCAGTACTTCAAGAGGAAGGAAGGAAGGAAGGAAGGAAGGAAGGAAGGAAGGAAGGAAGGAAGGAAAGAGAAGGAAATGGGGACTGGATAGATGACCTCAGGGTCGCTGGGAATTGAATGAGTGAAACACAGCACCAGGCAGTGTCCCAGGCCCGATGGGGGGCGGGGGGTGTTGGGGTGAGTGTTACCTTTGGCTATCGAGACTGTGACAACGCATGCGTGTGTGCCTGCAGCAGTGGAGCAGGGGTGGGGAGCAGGCAGGGGAGGCACAGGGACAGGGTCTTTCTCCAGGCATCCAGTGTGGTGGAGGCTCAGACGGCTGCCAGGCCAGGACAGGGGAAGAGGAAGTGTTGGGTGGCAGCAGGAGCTTGGCCAGTCCTGGGCAGGACCCAGAGTCTGGGGGGATACGGGCTTGGGCTAGGGTGGACTCAGGGTCTGGGATGGGGTTGGGGCTGGGGCCAGAGCCTGCTAGGACTGGAGCTGGTGAGGGTCCTCTGTAGGGGCTGAGGGGCAGGGGCAGGGTGGAACAGAAGATGGAGCCGAGGCTGCGGCCAGGACCCTCACCTCCTGTCCCTCCCCCAGCCTGGCATTAGCTCCTCCCCACTCAGTCTACAGAGTCTGGGCAGAGCCGGGCAGGCTCCAAGCTGTCTATGCAGGCACTCCCCAGAACCTGGGCCTGCTGCCACCTGGCTCCCAACACCCTACTTCCCAAAGCACCCTGAGGCCCTCACAGGCCCGGGCTAGGGAGCCAGGCATGGTTGAAATCCTGCTTCCTAGCCAGGAACCCTGGCGCCAATTTTCACCCCTGGGAGCCTCCGTTTCCCCACCTCACAGATGAGGGTAGCACTGGGCAGTGGCCCCTCAGTGGGTTGCTGGAGCTGTTTACCGAAGGCTGGAAGGCCCTGTCCAGCGAGTTACACAGCTGCCTCTCCTCACTCTGACCCCACCTGACTTTCGGGCTCCTTCTTACTTAGGTGCCATGGTCCTGCGCTGACCTGTGGAGCAGGGGGAGGGGGTGGAAGCCACCCCGGTGGCCCTGCTAAAGCTGGACCCCTTCCCTGGCCTCCTCTAGGGCAGCGCTCTGACATGCAAGGGGTGGCCCTGAGCCTGCTGGTCCTCCTGGCCGGTGAGTACCTGGCCGCCAAGGTGCCTTGCCCCCGGGACCCCAGCTGGGTGGTGCCAAGCTGTATGAGCACACTTGCTCCTGTCTCCCCAGGGCAGTGAGTGGTGGCCACTGGGGACAGCATCTCCTCAAGGGTAAGAAGTGTCACATTCATGATATCAAGGGACACACAAGGACAAGGCCTCTTAGAGCGGTGACTCACACAGCTAGAAAAAGCCACTGTCTTCCCTCTTCTCTTGTAAATCTGAGGATGTGGAGGAGAGAAGGCTCAGCCCAGGGTTGCCTTAACACCTCTGAGCCTGGTGGTGATGTAGTAAGTGACCAGAACACTTCGTGCCTCAGCTTCCCCATTTATAAATCCAAGGAGAATAACAACATCTACTCACGGAGTCATTGCGAGGATTAAACAAATTAATATTTGTAAAGCACACAGAACGGTACCTAGCCCAGAATCAGCACGTGTGTTGGTGCTGTAGACATAATTAAAAATGAGTAATCCTTTCACAGCATTCAGGCCCAGAGCTGAGGTAGCACAGTGCTTTTAGCCAGAATGGGACCCTTGCCCTTTGCTTTCATTGCATTCCTTCTGCCCACTGTATTGGGCAGACTGGGAGTCCATTGGGCAGGGGTGTGAAGTTGCATTTTTGCATAAAGTGGGTTTGAGGTGGTAGCCAGGAATCCCTGCAGGGGTTGGTGATCCATCTCGGGATGGGTGGGCTGTGCATGAGTAGGGAAGGTGGACTCTGAGTGCAGCTGGCATGGGGCAAACAGCCCTGGGAACAGAAGCCATCTGTCACCTTGATGAGAAAAGTCCCGTTTCTTTCTGCAGAGACCTGGATTAGCCCCGTGTCTGGGAGTATTCAACCAAACGCTGGGCAAAACCACTCAGAATAGAACCTGTTTGGGGTGGGCAAATGCTGGTGGGGCTCAAAGGTGTGTGGGGGGGGTGGCTGAGCCCCTGTCTCCATGATGCTGAGGCAGCCAGGCCGGGGCAGCACCCCTATGCCTGCAGGAGGTGCTGACTGTCCCCAAGGTGCCAGGGGAGGCCCCCAGGCTCCATGGGCCCCGTCAAGGGCTCTGCTGAGGCCAGCATCACCATGCCCCCTCTTCCCACTTGCCCCTCCTCCAGGCCTGCCTCCCCTGGACGCCAATGACCCAGAAGGTGAGTCAGAGGTGTCCCACTTAGCCCCCCATTCCCCCTGGGACCCCTGGAGTGGGCTGTTGTCCCGAATTCATGTTCTTCTTTCTCTCTTTACAGATAAGGACAGTCCTTTCTACTACGGTGAGCGCTTGCTCCTCGCCCCTCCCTGCCCTACACACTATTCTGTACCAACAGTGCCGCATGGGCTGGGCTGAGGGTCTGATGTGGGGCCAGCATAGGAAGGGGCTAAGATTAGGGCATTGAGCCACAGAAGCAGTGGATTAGAAAAACAAAAGATGATAGTCAGGTGCAGGGGAGGATTCTAGGCCAGCAAGGCAGTTAGACGCATGCAGCAAGTGAGGATGGTCCACAGAAAGCCATTAGGTCCAGCCAATCACTGGGAGGAGGGCTGACATTGGACATGGGGCATCTTCCTGGAAGAGATGAACAATTCAACCCAAACTATCATTCTGCCTCCAGATTCCACTGAACTCCTTCTACCAGCCTGCTCTTCCCCCCTCACCTCCTCTACTGCCCCTCATTCCTGCTCCAGCCACACCGGCCTCCTGCTGGTCCTCAGACATAGCAGAAAACTGCAGCCCCGGGGCCTTTGCACCTGCTGATCCTTGTGCTTGGAACACTTTCACACTTCCACCCCCTGCAGATATCTGATCAGTGTGGCTCCTCAGAGAGCCCTTTCCTGATCACTCTCTCTAAAGAACTGCCCTCTGGCTCTCTATCCCTCACTCTGGTTATGTTCCTTCATATTGCTTATCTCTAGCTGACCCAACAAGGAAATATCTTGTTTGCATGGATATAAACTAGAGTGTGTGCACTGGCCAGGCTAGGGATTTGGTTTGTTCTCTTACTATCACATCCCAGAGCCCTGCACACTGTAGAAGCTCAGTATATATCAATCAAGTGCATGGGGAAGATGGATGAGGAGAACCTGGGCTGACCTTGAGGTCCCCTCTGCTTTTCTCCCAGATTGGCACAGGCTCCGGGTCGGCGGGCTCATTTGTGCTGCGATTCTGTGTGCCATGGGATTCATTGTTCTCCTGAGTGAGTGCAGGAGCTGGCGGGGGAGGGACTGGGAGAGCTGTGCATCTCCTCCTCTGACCACTTCCCTTCCCCCAACAGGTGGAAAATGCAAATGCAAGTTCAACCAGAAGCCCAGGTGAGATGCGTCCCTGGCATCCCTGCCTCATGCACAACACTTTCCAGGGGGAAAGAGCTTTCCAGGTGCTGCAGAAAGAGGACAGGCTCCTGGGCCCCACCACTAATATTTCTCAGTTTTAATTTTCATAGTTAATGATCCACAGGGGACCCCAAATTCTGAAACGCCACATTCCCTTAGTGCTGCACAAACACTGGAAAGGCAGCCAGCAAGCAGTGTCTGAGCAAGCTGTGATGTCTAGCCTCCAAGGGACAGGATGATTGGGGAGGATATGGATCTCACCACATTTTATTTCCTCAGCCACCATGCCGTAGATGGCCCACCTCTCATCACTCCAGGTAAGACAGGCAGCTTGGTGCTGAGGAGAGCACGGGGAGTGAGGTGTGTGCGTACACACGTGTGCATGGGGAGAAAGGACTCTGCTCACAAGCTGACACCGTCACCTCTTCCAGGCTCTGCTCACAACTGCTGAGGACCAACTAGCCAGAGGAGCACTGAGGGCTTTTTCTACTCCCGTGTCCTGGGCCCAAGACGGCACCGCCCTCCTCTCCCCAGGTGCCTTACTAGGGCTGCATCTTACCTCTCATGGAAGGGGGCTCTGTGCTCAATGTTTAATATAAAATGATCTTGCTTCTGGTCAAGGTGGCCACTAGACTCCCTGTGCGCCCGCTGGGGTGGGAAGTGGGGACAGGAGGAGGTGGCTGCCGGCTGGGAGTGGCACAGAAGCTGGGAGCTGATTCTTGGGTTGGGAAAAGGCCAGGGCCTCATGGCCTGGTGGAGCAGGGCCTGCTTCCTGCCTCCACAGCCAGGAGAGCCTCATGTGCAACTGAGGAAATTCTAGTGGCAAAAAGGGAACACTTTTGTGAGTGGGAGCCCTAACCAGATGGATTGCTGGGGCACACAGATGAACACCGGACTCTGTTAGCCCAGAAAAACAAAGATATAGGGTCAGCCTACCATCCTGGGAGTGCGAAATAGTTTGATTGTGATAGTAAGACCTCTATGGCCCTCTCACTCACCCTGAGACTCCACTTTATTGAGTCCTTTCGAGTACCCGGATGTCCCTGTGAGACATCTCACACTACCCTAATACACAGTGGCCACACTGTGAGATTCTCTACTGAGCCTCAAATTCCTTTGCGACTCCCCAATAGCCAATAAGGGACCCAAAATGTTCCCATGAGCTACCTCATAAAGTTTCCAAAACACCCAAAATATCTCCTATAATGCCCTTAAGACAGGACCTCAAAAAAGAGATCCACGATAAACTTGTGACTTGTCCCCTAATCACTCCTTGACCCTCCAAGATCTCACAAGCACCCCACCCACCCATAATCCTGAGCCCACAGTCCTTAGAGCCCCCACGGTGTCTCACCGGGAGGTGCCAAACACCTGCTTCATCCCACGCCATTCACAAAATTCCCTCTCCCAAGGGTCCCACAGCAACTGGCTGGGCGGGGGCACAGTGCATTTATTGAGTTCATCTGTCTTTGGCCCTGGCGTCCTTCAGGGAGGGGTACCGGGAGCTTCACGAGACACCTCTCAATTCCCGCCTTTCTCACCGGCCACCCATGCCCGCACCTGCGAAAGAGGGAGGAGATGCGGGAATCGCTTCTGGCAATAGACATGCGCACAAGCTGCAGAGGGAATTACTGGATCTGGCAGGAAAAACTGCCCAGCGACTGTGACGTAATGGAGGCGGGCACTTCTCCATGATTGCGATTGGTCAGACTGAGTTTGGAGGGGAAAGATATGCTCTCACCTCAACTTTCATAGGGAACAGGTAGGTGGGAAGATATCTAGCGGATAACCTCCAGGTATGGCCAGAGCTATGCACCCCTTTGATTTCTGTATTTGTGCTCGCTGAGGCCTCAGCCTGAGCTCCCAAGTCACTTGGGATGCTGTGCCACACTGGAAGGTCGGCTCATAAGGTCCAGTAGCTGTGACCTTCCATCTACCCCAGCTAGCCCAGGTCCTCCAAGAGGTGGACTAGAGTCTGGACCTGTGGCTGGTGAACTTGGCCTGTGGTCAGTATCTCACAGGACTGGCTGGGGCCAGGAGGCCAGCTAAGAGGGCATCCAGATGCCTGAGACTCCCTATGCTGGCCCCCAGCCGAGTCCAACGTCCTGTCCAGTCTCAGGCACTGAGGTCCAACTCGTGATGCTGGTAGATCTGTGTGGGACCCTTGAAGCAAGCTGCAAACAGAAAGCGTCTACCAGCCAAGGTGATGTGGGCAAAGGCGCGGGGGGCCACCAAGGTCGGGGGCCCCAGCTCCTGCAGCGGCTCCAGGAGCTCCTTGTCTGACTCAAGGCGAAAGACCTGGCTGAAGGCAAAGTCGCTCCCCAGGACGGCCAGCTGGTCCCTGGCGATGAGCAGCGGCTGGAATACGTGGGCGCCGCGTGAGGGAAGTTTCTGCAGCAGGCGGAACATGGACCCCTCCCAGCGCATGACCTGTGGGGCAAGGCAGCTAGTTAGGGCCAGGGGCCCAAGTGCCAGGCCGGCCTGTCATCCTCAAGGCTTGGGAGGACTTGAAACGGCTTGGAAATGGGCCTGCAGGTCCCCCAAATGCTGCAGGTTTTTTAAACTTTAAAAATGTCACCACCCATGGGCTGGGGATGTATAGTTCAGTGGTAGAGCACTTGCTCAGCACATTCAAAGCCCTGTGTTCAATCTCTAGGATCCTCCAAAAATAAAAAATGAATGTCACCACCCAGCTGTTCAGGCCACACATCAGAGTTGTTCTTGAGCTTTCTCTTCCTCGTGCCACACATAGAAGAGTCAGCAACAGAATCTGTTGGTTTTGTCCCTAATAGTTATACATTTTTCCCACTTCCTTTGGTCACACCTTGGCCCATCCTCCACCCCCTCCAGCCTCCTCCCTGGTCCCTGGCTCCCATCCCTGTCTCCAGTCTGTTCCCCACCAAAGACCCTGTCAACTCCGGAATTCTTCTGGACTTCGAATGCTCCCTTAGCTGCACCTCACTCTGGAAAGAGTGCTGGGAATGGGAGTGGCACAGGATGGGCAGGGCCTAACTCCAGTGTCAGCCCTGGGGGTGTGGGGTCAGGGTGGGGAGGGGCGAGACTGTGGTTAAACTTCCTGGCATGTGTCAGCGTTACAGAGCCAGAGCTTGTGCACGTGTGGGGTGTAGAATCACAGTCTTGGGAGCAATGTCAGTTCTGGGAGATGGAGGGTGTTTTAGAGGCAGCTAGTCTGGAGGGAGTCACAACCTTGGACTCAGTGTTGGAAGGGTCAGAATTCAAAGGTCAGCATGTGAGTCTGGGTCGGAGGTCAGAGGTTAGTGTGCCTAAGAACATTTCAGTGCTGAAATCCCCATCATGGGGTGGTTGTGCTGAAAATCCTAGCTGCCTGCCCAACTGGCTGAGTCCTGCCCACCTGGCTGAGTCCAGCCTCACCATGGAGTCCCCGATGTAGCGTGTCAGGCACAGGAACACATCCCCACCAGCCTGGAAGTGGTGTGTGGCATAGACGTCCTCAGCCTCAGGGATGTCTGTACGCCTCTCAAAGCGGCCACCAACCCAGTGAAAGAGAACTGGGCGCTGGGAGGCAGAGGCCAGCAGCAGGTGGGGGTGGCCGTCCAGCTCCAGGACCTCGGCATCCGTGTCCCGGTGCCAGGCATGCAGGCTCTGGCGGGGGTAGAAGCCAGGCCCATCTCGACAGAGCAGTGTGGTGCTGCCTGCCTTGGAGGCATCGGCCACCACGAAGCACGGCTGCTCGTCCAGCCACAGGATCTCGGCGTCATTGGGCCTCAGCAGCCGCCGTGGGGCCAGGGCCTGTAGCGGGGCCAGGCGCAGGTCGGGGCTGGGCCTTGCCCACAGCTGTGAACCTCCCCACAGGCGGGCGGCCAGCACGAAGAGACGCAGGCCCAGCACCAGCGGCTTGCAGGACACCACCGAGGGCGCTGTGGGCAGTGGGAGGCAGTCAGGTCTTCGGGCAGGCTGGGGGCAGGCAGGAAGGGACAGCAGGGGGCTCACCTGACAGCTCCTCCTCGGGCCGGAAGCGCTGCAGGCTGTAGTCCCAGGCAAGGATCAGGCATTGTCCTGCAAAGGGCTGTGCCAGGATGATGTAGGGCTCCCCCTGGTAGGAGAAGGGCTCCACACCCAGCGCTGACTCCTGGACTGTCTGGAACCAGGTCAGCTCTGGGGGTGACAGGGGAGAGTCAGGCAGACTCAGGAGACCCCAAGGGTCCTCACGAAGCCTCAGTTTACCTATCTCTGCAATGAGGGCCATTCATGGTGTTCAGTTTGTAGGGATATATAGCTTGTACAGATATATAGGAAAAAAATCTTTTTTTATCTATAGATATGTTAACTCACAATGTGAATTGTATTTTCTGAGCTGCTCAGCATCATTAAATAATCCCTCAGAAACAGCACGTTTAATTTTTTTGGGGGGGCGGTGGTGGTACTCAGATTGAACTTTTACACTGAGTTACATCCCCAGATCCTTTTATTTTATTTTTTTGGTACTGGGGATTGAACTTGGTACCCTGTGCTTGTGAGGCAGGCGGTGGCACTACTGAGCTAAATCCCCAGCCCCACCTTTTATTTTTTATTTTGAGACAAAACCATGCTAAATTGCTAAGTTACCCAGGCTGGCTTTGAACTTGGGATCCTCCTTCCCCTCCTTCCCAGAGTGCTGGGATTAGAGGTAATCATTCATCTAGCTTGGTAGCATTCCTGTGAGGTATATTCTGTTGTGATCTCTACGTCACAGATGAGGATGGTGAGGTTAAGTGCCCTATGAAGCCAGCTGTCCAACCAAATCCCATCCATCTCATCTTCCGTGACTTGAGTGGAGCTGGCCACCAGGCTGCTCAGCCTGAAGCCTCACTACCCTGGAACCCCTACCAACACCCTCCTAGAAGTTGGCTGTGGTCATGTCAAGACCAAAGATCCCAATGGACAAGAGCAGAAGTATAACTTGCTTGTGTGAAAATGGGACTTGTCCTCCCCCGCTTCTTTCTCACAAGCTGATATATGGATACGTCACAGCCTGGCTTCGAACACAAAAACAAGGACATTGTACAGGAGCTGTTCCACCCACCTGGACAGCTCATCTTGGTCCCATCTGCCTTCCCTAATTTGTGATATTTTGAGACTCTTTGTTAGAACAGCTTAGCTTCCATGATAATTAGCTTGCAAAGTCCTGCACAGTGAGGCCCCTGCCACCTTTGACCTCATGGTGTCTCTCTCTTCACTCACTAACCCCAGCACATCTGCTTTCTTTTGATCATCAAACAGGACAGGCTGCAGACTGCCTCAGGGCCACTGCTCATGCTGATCCCTCTCTACCGAGTGTCCTTCCCTCTCTTCTCCCTGTGGCTAAATATATGCCTAGTGTGCTCTCTTCAGAGAAGCCTTGTCTGACCCCCATAACAGAGGACTCCCCCTTAACATCTTGTTCCCTGCATTCATCACAATGGGTAGCACTTACTTACTTAGGTCATGTTTTATTTAATGTCTGCTACCCCAATCCCCCAGGAAGTCACCGGAGGCCAGGACTCAGGAATCTTGGTCACCGGTGGACCCATCACCTCTTGTAGGCCCAGGCACAGTGTGGGCCTCACTGAATGTTTGTTGAATGACTCAATAAAGAGTGCCCTCTGAGCTGGAGGTATAACTTGGTGGTAGAGCACTTGCCTAGCATGCACGAAGCCCTGGACTCAATCCCCAACACAGCAAAAACAAAACAAAGAGTCTTGAGCTAAATCCCCCATTTTGTGAGTTCCAAAGACCAAAAACATGTCCTATTACAGATAATAATTACTACAACTACTATTTTTGTGGTACTAGAGATTGAACCCATGCCTTCTCACTGAGTGACAGACATCTTTAGGCTCTTTTCCCTTTTGCTTTGAGACAGGGTCTTGCTAAGTCACCCAGGCTGGGCTCAAATTTGTGATCCTCCTGCTTCAGCCTCCCAGAGTGCTGGGATTACAGGCATGCACCACCACACCCAGCTACTGCTGTTACATTGTTAGTTTATTCATAGCATCTGTGTGAAGATCTTCAGGTCCACCCCTGGAGGAAAACCTTCCTGACCCCGCTCTGTGTGGCCCTACCTCTGAGCTCCCATGGCTTACTCTGCCCTGGTGCGAGCCCTCTCTCTGCACCTCCCCTGTGCCGGGTTTGACCATTCTGGGTGGTAGGTCACCATCTGGGGTGCCCTGCTTTTCTCTGGGCCTTGGGCTTTGTGAGGGGCTGTGTTCACCACTGCTGTTCTCTCTGCACTGCCCTGCACCCAAAAAGGTACAAAAATGCATTTGTAGAAAAGCAAAAGGAAGGTAAAATAAGTGAAGTGACATGGCACATGCAGGTCCCAGCACAATTCTTGGCATGTAAGAAGAATTTTAGAGTGGTCAGTTTGATATCAAAGAGAGTGAACAATTAAGGGCCTCCTGTTCCAGGCCATGTCATATGCTGTGCAGGCATGGACACGTCATTCAATCCTCACAGCAATCCTCCGTCACTGTTTATTACTCCCATTTTACAGATGAGGAAACTGAGGCTCAGTCGGTAATGCTATGTGCTTGGGGTCTCCCAGCCGGGAAGTGGCACGGCAGGGGGTGAGGTCAGTGCTTCAGCCCTGGCAGCCTTTGCCTCTGCTCTCCTGCTTTCCCCTGGGACCACTGCTGTCCCTCCCACTCCTCTGAGAAAGCCCCCACCTATTCCTCTGCACTTGAATGTCTTGGCGTCCAGGTGTCGGAGCTGCATGTGGGTCAGGGCGGTGGGGCCCGCGCAGTCCCCGGTCCCCACGCTGGCATTCACGGTGGCCATCCACTGCAGCAGCCAGAGGACACGGCAGTCACACTGGAACGGGTTCCCACGGAGGTCCCTGGGGCAAGAGGCCGGGGAGGCTACAACCTGGCTCCTACCCTTTGGGACCATGTTCCCTGGCCCCTCCTTAGGCAAGGGTCTAGGATAGCACCCCACGGGCCTAGGAAAAATAGGTGAGAGTCTTCACAGACCCCCCGGGTTCCCACCCCCACACGCCCAGCCCCCTTGAGCCTCACACGTGAGTCAGGGTCTCCAGGCCTCGGAACAGGAACCTGGGGAGGACCTCCAGGTGGTTATTGGCCAGGCTTCTGGTGAAGAGAGAGGAGAAGGAATGGTCAGCAGCCCCCGGGAGACTCTGTGTCCTTGGGGTGAGGGTAGGCACCTGTTGGGTGGGGTGGGGCACTGGAGGCACGCACAGGTGTGTGAGCGAGCGAAGTCCTCTGAGAGCGTTCTTAGAGATGGAGCCAATCTTGTTGTCCTCAATGAAGCTGTGGAGGGGAGGGGAGGGGAGGTGAGGGGGAGGACTGCAGTGCTCAGGGGCTCACGTCATGGAAGCCAGGAGCCACCGGGAGGTGCGGCACCGCCCCCCCGTTACCAACCCCAGGAAAAGCCTGCTCACTAAGGGCCCAGCCCACCATCCCAGGAGCCAAGAACCTGCCCTACAGTCATTGGCAGCCACACCGTGGACACTGCCGCCATCGTCGCCAACAGCAGCACTGGCATCTCACCTGTGCTTCTATCACCACTGCCAACCCCAGCACCCATTCCTGCCATTATCCCCATCGCCACCAACATCACCACCTCTCCCACTGTCAACCCTAATTACCAAGCCCCAACCCAACAACATCCACAAGCGTCACCATTGCAACTTTCAGGATCGGCACCAAAAGACTACCGCCCTCGTCACCAGCACTGCCACCACTGCTACAAACCGGCAGTGCAGTGCCCGCAGCATCACTGTTATTCCCAGTGTGCACATCATCCACTCCCAGCACCATGACTGCCAGTGTTCTCATCAGTACCAACACTTTCACCATCATCAACAAATGCAGCACCCATGACGGCACATTGTCCTTAATACCACTGCCAGCGTCCTCCTCTCGGCCGTTCCCAGCATCCACACCAATACCATAATCACCAATTCCCACCACACTGACTACTGTCGCTGACACTGCCCCGCAGACGTTATCACCAACAGCACCATAGCCATTGGGTCCACCATATTTTTCTTCTTCCCTCCTCCTCTCTCTCTCTCCCACCCTTTGCAGTACTGAGGATTGAACCCAGGGCCTTTGCATTGAGCTATATCCCCAGAGCTTTTAAGAAATTTTTCTTTAGACTGTGTCCAGACATCTCTGGGCCCAGCCTCAACCTCCCCTACTCTGGAAGCCACAGAGAGACCTCTGCTGCTTCTCCCACCCCCGGGCCCCACTTACAGGTACTGCAGGTGGGACAGGCCGGCAAACGCATCATCCTCGATCACGGAGAAGGAGTTGGACGTGAAGAGACTGGCCAGGGAGCAAGACAGAATTTTCTAGAGTGGGGGCACTTAGTTGTCATTCTAACCTTGCCCCACCCTCAGCTCACACAGGCAAGGGTGCACACACTTATATGTGGGTGTGAGTGTGTGCAGGGATACAGATACTTTCACATGCATGTGTGTTCACAGCCTTGCATGTGCAAGAACCTGGCCTGGCCATTGCCAGCCTCCACGCACACGCCCTCCCCATGCCTGTGCATGAATACCCACGCCTTGCAGCTGGGGTTGGCCCAACCAGGCACTACTCACAGAAGGTGCAGGGATGGCATTCTCAAAAAGCTGCTGGCCTTCAGCTGGGTAACTCCAGTCCTGACAAGTGAGCTGGGAATGAGCATGGGCAAGAGTGAGTGAGGAGAAAACTCTCTCTGCAACCATCTGGTCCTGAAGCAGAGCCCCCTGCTCCCTAGGAGTCCGTGACCCGAGCAAGGGTACATTTTGTTGCATCCCAGGGCAGCTGCCCACCTTGCTTGGCCCCAGCATTCCCCCTGCACCTTTCCAAATCTCAGCAGCCCCCTTTCATATATCCCAACATCCTCTGCTGCCCGAGATCCTGATAGGTTCCTGATTCCTTGGGGACCCCAGCATCCCACCCCCACCTCTGGGGTTCCAGGACTCCTGTCCTCACCTTCAGGCCCACAGAGGGCCTGACACTCACAGTGACAGCAGCGTCGGGGAGAAGCTCTCAGGCAGGTCCAGGGAGCCCTCACACAGGGCGCTGTCCTTGGAGCAGGAGCAGCGTAGAGGACATTTTCCCTTTGGGGGTCTCCAGGCCACCCCCACCCCAGCCCCAGCCAGGAGCAGCAGCTGCAGCAGCAGAGGCCCTGTCCCTGCCATGCCCCCTGTCCCAGACTTAGGGCCCCTCCTCCACTTATCTTGGACCCAGTTTTGCCGGGGCTCCTACATCTCCTGTGCCCAGTGGCCCTGGATCCGCCACAGGGAGCTGGGACCTGGCTCCCAGGATCTCACAGCCTGCCCTTCTCCCTCTACCTCTTTGGTGCCTGATTTTCTTTCTCTTTCCCTGTCTTGCTGCCTCTCCCTCTCTGTTAGTCTGCACCGCCCCCCCAATCTTGGTCCCTATTTCTGTCTATCTTTGTTTCTGTTTTCCCTGTCTCTGTCTCTTTAGGTCTCTGTCGGTGTGTGTGTGTGTGTGTGTGTGTGTGTGTGTGTGTGTCCCTTTGCCTGGTGTCTATTTCTCAGCTCCCTCCCCCCTCTTTCCAGAGCCCAGTACTCTCTGCCTCCTCCCACGCCCCTTCTCCCTGAAGATTTGGGAAAGGGACGTGCTGGGCCCAGGGTGTGCCAGGCAGAGTGGAGTAAGAAGGAGGAGGGGTCAGAGGCCATAGGAAGAGCAGCCCCGGGGAAGGGACTGAATGGCTCTTTGGCAGGAGGCGGGGCCGCCCAGGGCTGAGGCCATCCTGGCCACTCCCAGCCAGCCCTCTCCCCAGATTGCCCAGCTTGTCACTCGGGTGGGGACTGGATGGCTCTGCAGAGAGGAGGAGGAGGTGGGAGGAAAAGCTTCTGGGTCTGAGGGGACGTCCTGGCCACTCCCAGCCAGCCTCCTCCCCAGGCTCCCGGAGGGTGTGGTGGGTGCTGTCCCCAAGGCTTGAAGGGGCCAGAGCAGGTCCAGCTGCTCCCTCTGGTGGCCACCCTTGGAAGGACCGCTGCCCTGCCCCAAACACTGGAAGTTCCTCCCTCCTCTCCCCTGAGATTAACTCTCTAACGTCCGAGCGCATTTGACACTGAGATTAGCCCCAGGAAATACGTAACCACAATGATGCCAGCTCTTTCTTCAGCACGACTCTGCGCCAAACTGTTACTTACTGACTCTAGTCTCACCACAGCCCTCTGGGCTCCGTGCTATTCTCATCGCTATTTTACAGCTGGAGAAGCTGAGGACAGAGGTCAAGTGACCTGAGCTCAGCGTGATCTGATCCAGCTGCAGGCAGAGGCAGGGTTCAGACCCGGGCAGCTGGCTCCAGGATCTCTCCATGTTATTTTGTTTCTTTCTTTGGAGATCAGAATTCGTGAATAATTGTTCATTAAATATGAAAAATACAAAAAAAAGAGATACTTGTTACCCAACGTGACCTACTAATAATATTTACCAAGTATATATTATGCGCCTGTCTTTGCTTTTGCCTGTCTTTGTCCTCACAGCAACACTGTGAAGTGGGTGGCATTACTATGCCAACTTCACAGATGGGGAGACTGAGGCACATAAGGTTTAGTCTTATGGTGCCACTATCACCTCACTGCCTGGGCTCAGGAGACACACCCCTGACTGAGGAATACACATGGCCTCTCTTGCCCTGAGGTGCACACCAGAGAAGACTAGCAGGATCTGAGGCTTAACAGCACCACCTGGAGGTGGAGATCCGGGGTCCAGCCCAGTCTTGTTTGGCCTCAGCCATTCAACCTCCCAGGTTCTCAGTTTTCCCACCTGTCGAATGGGGGCATTGATTAGTACTCACTTTCCAGTTTGGGGAGAGGACTTAGTGTGATGATTACAGTAACTCACCTTCTTGGGGTTCATCACAGGGTGGGTACCCTGAAGTGGTTAGCAGGCTTGGGGCCAAACTCTGGCTCCAGGTCCTAGTCCCGAACTGAACAGCTTGTGATTTGAGAAAGGCTCTCGTTTTCCCCAGCTGAAAAGCAGGTGTGATAAACCTCTTTACAGGGTCTTTGAAAGTGCAAATAAAGAGCTTGGTGCTGGAGACACAGAGAAGACAAGGCTAGGCCTGAGCCCACACGGACAGCGTGCCCGGCCCAGTGGCGTCCTCCCTCCAGTGTGCGTGAGAAGGGCTGCCTTGACAATGATGACAGCTCACTTCCTTTTTCACAATACTGGGGATTGAACCCAGGGCCTTTGCACTGAGCTATATCCCAGGCTCTATTTTTTTTATTTATTTAGACACTGGGTCTCACTAAGTCAATAGGTTGCCCAGGCCAGGCTCAAACTTGTGATTCTCCTGCCTCAGCCTTCTGGAGTGCTGGGATTAGAGGCGTGGACCATCACGCCCAGTAGACAGTTAATTTTTTTTTCTTTTTTTTTTGGTGCCTGGGACCTTGCGCTTTCGAGGCAGGCGAAGACAGTTAATTTTTTAAAAAATCACTTACTGTATGCCAGGTTTTGTTCTCAGTGCTCTAGATTGTTTGGATAATCATCCTGACCTCCCTCTGAGGTGGATACCCTTTTCCTTTCCACTTTACAAAGGGAGCAACTGAATGACAGACAGGTTAAGCCACTGGCAACATGACACAGCTGCAAAGCTCCAAGCTTTTCCACCCTGGGACCCTTAATGCTCCAGAGTTGGATCCCTCAGGGAAGGAAGCTGGACTGGCCAAGAACTGGCCAGATGCCCCTCCTTGTTTGGCCCCTTGTGTCCCCTGTCCCCCCCGCCCAGGGCTGCATAAACAGCAGGGTTATCATTAACCGGGGACTGCTGGTGGCCCCGGGGTGCAGGGCCGCTAGGGGCAGAGGCTTAGAGGGCTCAGACAGACAGGGATATGGGAGCCTTTCGGAGCTGCCTGCATTCTCTGAGAGCAGGTGCCTCGGTATGTGTGTGATGCCCACGCATGAGTGTGAACCTGTGTACATGCTCTTGCCTCAGTCCTGCAGACCCGTTATCTGGGCAGGCTTCCAATAGTTTAAGCATGGAGGCATTTCTATCCTTTACCACCAGGGGAGCTCTCAAGAATTAGCACCATGTGACTAAACCTCAGTATTCCCATTTCTGACATGGAGCTGATAAGACAAGGTCAAGTTCAGAGACCTCTGAGACTGGCCAGGGGTACGTGTATCACATTAACCATCTTTCCATTTTATAACCCAAGCAACTGAAGGACAAAGAAGTTCCAATGGCTCCCCAAGATCACACAATGAGGAGTACAGAGTCCAATCCTGACCTTAGGGTTCTGTCACCAGGGCCTGCCCATGAGAACACCAGAAATGTTTTCTTCCTAGAGCCACAGAAGCTCAGGGAAAGAAAAGTTCAAGGCTCAACATATCTCTGTGGTTCTGGAGTGTGAGCCCAGAACGTTAGACTGTTGTGTCTGTGATTGTGTGGTCAGCTGTGTGCTGTCTGGCCGTGGGTGGTGTGTGAGCACAGTGCATGTGTGCACAGTGCATGTGTCTGTGTGTGTGGCTCTGTGACAGAGTGGCTGGTGATGCGGGAGTCTCCTTGACACTGTATCTGCTTCTCTGTGTGGCCATGGAACATGGTCTGTGTGTGCACAAGGTCTTTGCCCTCCATGTCTTCACTAGCTGTGTCTGTGTCTTTGAATGATTTTATATGTTCTGTGTATTTCTGTAGGGCCATTTGTGAACACGTCTTCACAAAAATGTGTATCTTTCTGTTTGTAAGAGTGGACAGATGTGTGGCTCTCAGTGTCTCTCTAGAAATCCATCAGCATGAGTGTGTGCGTGTACGCAGATCTGTGTATCTCTGTCTTTTGTGTTGGGTATAAGACATGCTAGTTGCATGTCTGTGTCTTTGGGTTTCTCTGTGGCCATGTGTGTGTGTGTGTGTGTGTGTGTGTGTGTGTGTGTGGTGTGCGTGCCTGGTGGGATCCTAGTCAGCAGCAGACAGCACACACAGAGACACATACACATTAACTCCCCACCCTTGCTCACAAACAACCCTACAGTACTGTCAAGAGTTTCACAGAACTCGGAGGTCAGGGGTGAGTGGGCTCCTAAGCACTTGGGCTGCCTGACCTTAGGCCCCAGTTGGGCCCAGTTCCCAGGGAGCAGCGAGAAAATCACTGCCCTGCCCCAGCTCAGCGCTCTATGCCAAGGTGAGTGCGTGCATGCGTGCGCATGTGCGTGTCCATACACCCTGCCTGCTGTTCCTCAGTCTGAGCTGAGAGAGTTAACCGAGCAGGCCAGGGCGGTCTGGGCTGGGGGCCGCCCCCTGGCCCCCCTCCAGCCTGGGCTCCAGTTACAGCTGCTGGTTAGGGAGGGAGGGTAGGGGTGGGGTGGGGCCAGGAGGGGAGCCTGCCTGGGGTGGCGCATCCAGCACTGGGCCAGGGGGTCCAAAGTGCTCAGCCCCCAGGGGCACAACCGGACATTTGGGGGCCTTCTTTCAGCAGGGGACAGCCTGACTGGGGTGAGCGTCCCCCACCCCTTCCCTCCAGACCTCTTCCCTCCCCTGGCTGGGCAGCCTATTTTGGGAGCAGGAGTGGCCAGCCTGTGCTTCCCAGGCAGGCCTGGCCCAAGAAGGAGAGCGTGTGACACTGGGGTTCCGCTGGCCAAGTGAGGGTGAGTGGGGGTGCGACTCCTGCCCTCTCTGCCGCTGCCATGTGAGCCCCCTGGCTGGGCGTGGGGTTTAAATACAGGTAGAGCTGCTTGTGTCACCGTCTTGGGGAACTGGAGGCCCAGGGAGGCTTATGTGCACCCTACTTACTGTGTCTACATCCCATCTTCTTCCAACTAGCAGTTTGGGGAAAGGGTGTTGTCTGACTCTGTTCCAGCCCCACCCAGTGTGTGTGTGTGTGTGTGTGTGTGTGTGTGTGTGTGTGAACATGCACCCTTGCAAGTGTGTCCCTGGCTCTGGCATCTGTCTTTTCTCTCCCAGGCCCATGAGCATGGGCCTCACATTACTCGCCTGGTGTTGTCTAGTTATGAAAGATGTCACCCGAAGGTGGGCAGATGGAGTATTTTCCCTTTTCTCATGGCTCCCAGGAGAGTAGGCTGGGTGGCCTTGCCCTGAGGGGCAGCCTGTGTCCATGGGGCAGCTGGGCCTCACCCAACAGGACTGTGCTTGACCCCCGAGGGGCGGGAGGAAAGCTGTTGCCATGGTGGCCTTAGAGGCGAATTCCTCCAGGGTGAAGTGGGAGATATTTATACCCAGGGTCAAGCAGACAGCGGGCAGCCTCGAGGGCAGGAGAGCGGCAATTGTCCTGATACATGGAGGCCAAGGCCACCGTGTGGGGCAGGTGGGACTGGGGTGTGTCTGTCTCTCCACCTGTGTGAGGTGGCATCCTGGCTCCTCTGCTGGGGTGCATTTGGGGATTCCGGGCCCTGCTGTGGAGGTGGAGGCCTGTGGAGATGTCTGCAGACTGACTGTCTCACCCCTAACTTTGCTGTGTTGCGTCACATGTGAGCCCCGTTATGTGAGTTGCTTTGGTGAAATGGTCCCAATCCGAGAAGCCTGTTTCTCAGGCAACTAAGCTGGGTAACCAACACTTTCATGATTAAGTCCCTAGACAGTCTCTGACTTAACCCCTTGGATTCAGAGGTGGCGGTGAGTACACACTCCCGGTCCCTCTGTTGTCTCTCAGGACGATGGCATCCCTCAGTGATGTCTTGGTTGTCTTCCTGGTTCTTCTCTCCGTCGCCAATGCAGGTGAGTAAAGGGAGGCCTTGAGGGTGGGGGTGGGACACAATTCGGGAACCAGGTGGAAGATCCCACCCTAAATGAACTCACGGAAATTGGGGGTCTCCATGTAGGGTTCAATTACAGGTTGGCATTTAGGGGAGGGGAAAGTGCCTCAGGTCAGGCAAAGGAGAGAGCGGCATGGAAGCTGGCTCCCAGATTGGATGATGGGGTCGAAAACAACCTGTACTACATCAGGGCGCTGGGGCAGTGAAACGGCCCTACCCTACCCAGGGCAGCACAGAGGGGACAGCTAGGACCCAGAGAGGGTGGGCAGCCTGCCTATGGTCCCAGACCCCCAAATTCTCAGCCCATGTCTTCTCATGCTCCTTCCGGTCCAAGATCCCAAGAAGCATTTAACCCCAGATTTCTCTTTCATTCCAGAAGCACCACAGGAACAGGACCCATTCACCTATGGTGAGGCGGAGCTGGAGGGAGGGCCTCCGTTTGCCCTCCCCTTTTCTGGGTTTATATTTCTGTCCTTCTGTCTTTCTCTTGCTCTGTCTCCTCTCCCTTGTCTGGTTGTCCCTCTCTGTGTCTATTTCTGTTTGATCCCGCTCCGCCTCTCAGTTTGACTCAGTCTCTCAGTATCTCCTAACCCATCCCCAGCTACCTCCTGCCCTTTCTTCCCTCCCTGCCCAATGCCTCCCCGCCCTCCTCCTTCCCTCCTCCACCTACCCCAATCCTCACCCGAACCCTAATCCACCGCCCTGTCTCTCCCTCCCACCTCCCTGCCCCCACCTCCTCTTCTTTTATATCTCCCTATCCCTATTCATCTCCTGTCTTCTCTCCTCCTCCCTGCCCTGCCCACATCTTCCCAATCCGCTGCTGTGCTCCTCTCTCTGCTGTCGCCCACATCACTGCTGCCCGCAGATTACCAATCCCTTCGGATCGGAGGCCTCACCATAGCCGGGATCCTCTTCATTCTGGGAATCCTCATTATCCTCAGTGAGTGCCTCGGCCCGCCCCGCCCCGCCCGTCTAGGCCACGCCCAAACCCGCCCACTACGCCCCACGCCTGTACAAACCACGCCCAGTCCGCCTGGTTCTTTTCCCCGCCACGCCCCCACTCCCCGGGCTCCACCCCTCCCGGGGCGCACAGCCGCAGGAGCGCGGCGGGGCGCCTCCTAGAGGGACTCAGCCTCTGCTCCTCCTCCCCGTCCTCACAGGCAAGAGGTGCCGGTGCAAGTTCAACCAGCAGCAGAGGTAAGAGGCCGTTCCCCCGCCCTCTCCCGCCTCCTCCTCGCTCTAGAGGGGCGCAGGGGCCAAGGCGGAAAGTCCTCCCAACCTGTTTCAGTGAGCACCTACTAAGCACCTACGATGTGCTAGGCCCCAGGTCATTTCCTGGGATCGAGCGATGCATTCACCTCCCGCCTTGCCTGGTCCAGGTCCCAGCCCTGTGGCCATGGATTCCAACAGCCACACAGATGTAAAATCACAAAGCGCGACAACAGAGAAAGTGCAGGGAAAGAGCGAGCCGCAGTGAAATGAGATCACTTCACTCGCGGCCCAGTTTAGCTCGCAGTCCTCTTCCTAGGCTCCGATTCATCTTTAAATAAAAATGTAAAGCACAGGCAAAGTATGAATACCTTTGCCTGTGAAAACAATGATAAACCTCGTTGTAAGTAGCAGCTAATATGCACTGAGTGTGTACTGTGAGCCAGTGCTTCCTAGTATATAAGTGTTGCCATCATCAACCCTACTGTACAGATGAGGAAACTGAGGCACGGGGAGGTAAAGTCACGTACTCAAGATCACTGTCACTGGGAGATGAGGGTTGGGGTTCCAACCCAGGCCATCTCCCGGCAGTCTACCGGGGCCCACTGACGCGCCCACAGTCCCTTTCCCGACCCCAGAGGTCCTCATCATCCCCTGCTTGGAAGGCCTCTTGACACACACTTCAGCTGCGCCTGGACGCCCCTCAGTTCGGGCGCCCCGGCCCGCTCCTCGCCCGCTCTGGGCCTCGGACTCGGTGTGGGAAAAGGTCTCCGTTCCCAGCCCCAATTCCCTCTCCCTCTCCCTTCCCAGAACCGGGGAACCTGATGAAGAGGAGGGAACTTTCCGGAGCTCCATCCGCCGTGAGTTTGGGGAGACCGCGGGTGTTTGGGGCTGAGGGCGGCCGGCTCCTTGAACCCCCTTCCTGGCTTTCCCTGGGTGCACAGAGAAAGGGGCTTGATCCCAAACCACAGGGCTACCCCTCATGACGCCCGAACTCTGTGTCCCCCGCAGGTCTGTCCACCCGCAGGCGGTAGAGACACCTGGCATCTGGAACTCAGCCAGGTCCTGCAGCTCAGACCCGGCTGTGGAGGGAAGAAGAGAGGGAGGGAAGCTTGAAGGGGGCGAAGTGCCAGGTGGGAGGATGGCCGGGGGAGGGCTTAAGGTCCGCATCGCCTCTCCCCCTTCTCGCCCCACAGGATTCCCCTGGCACCCGACGCCTTCCGCCCATCACCCGCGCGCCTCCAGCCACCGCGCCTGCCCCCTCCCCAGCCCTGTCCCACGGACTCCGCGTGCCTCCCACACCACCAATAAAACGTGCTTTTCTCTCCTGACAGCGCTTTCTTGATCTCTCAGTCCCTCTGAGCGAAAGCCTGGGAGCCCCGTTGGCCCCGGCAGGGGGCGCCCCCACCCTTGGGAAAAGGGCGGGGAGGCCGGCAGTGGGCGGGGGCGGGGGTGGCCTGGATGGGGGCGGGCTCTCCGGGCCCCCATTGGCTACAGGCACCCCCAACACAGGGCTCCCCCCACCTTCCCCCCCAGTCTGTCCTGCTTCCAGCTGCCGCAGCCGCACCTTCGCTGCCTCAGCAGCCAGCAGCCCCCTGCTCCTGCTCAGCATGGCGACCCCAACCCAGACCCCTACAGATGGTGAGCGTGTGGCCTGGAAGTGGGCGCTCGGGCGGCGAGGGTGGGCTCCCGGATCTAAGAGCTTAAGAGTGCGCGGAGAGTCTAGTCCTGAAAAGGGAGGGGAGTGAGGAGAGGGTGTCGGCCCCTTCCCCAGCGGAGCCTTCGGTCACGCACCCCTAGAGGCCCCTTGAGGGCTCTGGGACACCGGCTCCCAGGCGACCTCGTCCGGTGCGGAATCTACAATTAGAGAGTGACAGTCCCAGGAGAAAGGGGGCACGGACAGGTTGCTATAGCAACCGGGTGGCTGGTCCAGCATAGTGGTGGTGGAAGTCGGAAGGAGATGGGCTTTGGGAACTGAGGAGTGCAGCCAAAGAGGTAAGATTTCAGGAGCATGGGCTGGACAACGGGAGGGGGTCCACATCCCTCTCAGTCCAGCACTGACGCCCGTGAGATCCGGAACAGGCAGGCTCAGAGTAAAGGGGAACAGCTAAAGAAGAGAGAAATGGGGGTGGGGGTTGACTCAGAGAATCTGAGAGAGACGGAAAGAGACCAAGACAGGCAGGAGATCTAGAGTCAGTGACACAAAGATCCAGAAAGATAGGTAGGAGACTCGCAGAGTGTCCGAGTGACGGGAAGACGCGGGGAAAGAGAGAAGCAGAGAGAGAGAAGGGACACCGAGACTGAGATGACTGTGGAGAGGGAAGGAGGGAAGGAGAAAGGAGCAGAAAGGGGCCCGCATGGGGTGGGGCCCAAACCACTGCAGTGACCCTCAAGGGTGGGAATGGCATGGTGGGACCCTCCTTCCCAGCCCACAGCCAGCTGTGGTTTCCAGTGCCAGAGGTGCACTTGGGTGTGCACAGATGTCCCTCCCGCCCTCATCCTGCAGCAGACCACTTATATTTGACACCCATTAACCCCGGTATTCACTCCCTTGAACACTCACTCTCACTGTCCCCCCAACAGTCCCCCATGGTGAGCTTCCTTCTGCTGAGAAGCAAGGGACCGAACACTTCAGTGGGGGAGGGGGCAGGGCCAGGGACGCTGAGGAGCCCCTGGCAGTAAAGGGAGCCCCAATTACACTCTGAATTTTCCTTCCCTTCCCCCTTTCCTAGCTGGTGGGGGCTGCTGCACTGAGCCATATCTGCAGAATGCGAAGCAGGGCGGGGTGGGGGGGCTGCAGAGGCTGGAAGCCACCCTAGGGAGAGGGGGCAGGGCTGAGCCAGCAGGTCTGGCGGGAGCCCAGGGCTTCTTTTCGCAGAGGTGGTGGTTAGCAGGATCGATGGCAGCAGACAGGCCGAAGTGGGAGGACAGACGCCTCAGTACCCCCCTTCTCCCAGTCACAGCATGAGAGGGGACCGCAGGTCTCGGGAAATCCTGGGAAAGGAAAAGCATGTTATGCATTGCAAGCTGCTTAGGGAAATGAATTAATGAATTGCTGAGGAGAGAAGGGAATGGAGGTGAGGCTCTTTCCACCTGCCAGAGAACAGGAGGGAGAATTAGGGGCAAACAGAAAGGGGGTGCATGAATGTACCTGGGCCTGGGTCCCTGTACCTGAGAGGGACCCTCAGCTTGGCCAGAAACCAGCCATGCAGGGCCCACAAGAGGAGGTGCAAAAGGAGAGAGTCAAGATGGGGCCCAACCCTCAACCCTCACACAGCACTCCACCCAGCCTGCAGTGATGGGACCCATCACCCCTCAAGATGCCCTGGTTGGCATAGCAACCACCTCCTTCTTGATCTCTCCTTGGCAACTGGCCAGAAGTAGTGCACATTCCTTCTTCTGCCTCCTGGCTCCACCCTTAGCCCAGCCACACCCTGAGAGTTCAGATTGCTGGGCCAGCAGGGACCAGCAGGAGCACCTGCACCCATGGAGGAGCCCAAGAGGATTCTGGGACTGGCACTCATACAGTGGGTTCTTGAGAACTTTGGAGGAGGGTGTGCGGAAAACCAGGAGACAAAAGTGAGATAATCCAACCTTTCCACCTTTGTTGCAGCCTCTTGCAGCCCAGAAGGGCCTCACATTTGTTCATTCATTCATTCATTTATTCACTCACTCATTCCAGGAAAATTCTTGGAGGGCCTTTTGTAAATGCCAGGATCAACAGCAGAGATGAGTCAAACAAATTTACCCAGCATCTGGTGGGGGAGCTAATACAGAGCCCAGGTGACTCTAAAACACCGTGTCCCCAGTTGGATGCTTTTGAGTACCACCTTCAAGATTTTGCCTGTATTCAAATGTCAAATGTTCCCTGCACTGCTACTTATTTAATGTTTTTACTTCAAAGGATTAACCTTTCTTTTTTCCAGTACTGGGCATTGGTTGAACGCTAGACCTTTGCACTGAGCTACATTCCCAGCCTTTTATTTGGGGACAGGGTCTTGCTCAGTCACTAAGTTGCCCTGGCTGGGTTCAAACTCTCAATTCTCCTGCCTCATACTTCCAGGATTAACTTTTAATACTTCATTAGCTTTATTTTATATTGCCACCACAAGTGTAAAATGAAGACTTTTTTTTTTTGCCTTAATTAAAGGCAAGCATAAAAACAAATCTTAAGCAAGTGACTTGACTTTTCTGGGTACAGCATCCCATTTTATGAAATGAGGAGGGAGATACTACCTGTGTCAGAGTTGCTGCTAAGATTAAATCTTAATATTGTAAGGAGCCTAGAAGCAGCTGGACATAGAGTCAATGCTATCCAATGTTGGCTAAATAAATAAGAAAATCCACCATTGTCATAAAATTCTACATAGATTTTGTTTCCTGCTGAAGACTCTGAGCACAAGCTTATTTTCTCTAGGGTAAGGGGGGAGACTAACAAGTGCTGGCAGCTATTAATGACACATCTGGACCAACCTAAGGCTTCCTCTTGGAAGACTGGATAGAGCCCTGAAAAGTGAGAACTAACACACTGCATGAATTAGTGCCACTCGTGGTCTTGCCTCAGAGACCCCTGTATGAGTCAGTTTAGGCTACACTTTGCTTTGGAAGCAAATAGTACCAGCAGCCTCAGTGGGTTAGGACCACTAGGTTATTTCTCACAGATGTTCCGTGTCACGAAAGGCCTCTCTACCAAAGAAAACTAGAGCAGCGGCCATCTTGAATGTTCAGGTCACCAGGCCAGAGACAAGAGAGAGCTCTTGCATGGGCACTTGGATGCTCCAGCCTGTAAGTGACAATGACACTTCTAATTACAGTTCATTGGCCAGAATTAGTTACATGGCCCCACATAACCTCAAGGGACCTATCCTTCTCTGAGGAGCCTGGAAGGGGGGAGAAGAACACTATGCCATCACTCTGGCACCTCTCTCCTAACTGCTCATGCTCTGCAGAATCCAGCTCCAGAGAAGATAAGACCTAATGAGAACTGCAGAGGAAGTAGAGGACCATCACTTCTGCAGTGGGAAGATGATCTGTGCTCTCCTGAAGGCAGATGGGGTTTGTGGCAGGGAGGTGAGAGATGAGAAAGGGGAGATCCACAGACTGTGTAGTGGTACTAGGGAGTGAACTCGGGGCCTTTGCATTGAGCTATATACCCAGCTCTTTTTATTTTTTAAATTTTGAAATGAGGTTTTGCTAAGTTGCCCAGACTGTGCTCAAATTTAAGATCCTCCCGCCCCAGCCTCCCAGAGTGCTAGGATTACAGATGTGTACCACCACTCCCCACAACACACCAGCATTTTACCTATGCACTAGCATTTCTGAAATCAGGGTGAGTCTTCTAGTGGATGAGTGTGTCTCATGTGTTTTGTGTGGTACATACACATCCGCACATACCAGGAATACCACTGCAAAATCCACGTCGAATCTTAACATTGCTGGTGTCTTAGAAATAAGTAATATAGGATATGAATCATCACAGCTCCTCTGCACTAGATTTTGTGGGAGGAGCAAGTGGAAGAGAGCAGGAGCAGATACCTGGGAAGATTTAGGGAGTGTTCAGGAGCAGCCATAGATGCAGGGGTCTACCAGTTGGACTGGGGTCTGTCAACCTCTGGCATCATATGTAAATGGGATTGCATCTGTGTTTTTCAGTCCATTGCTTGCATTAGATTTCTAAGCAGTCTAGGACCAGGACTGCCATGTATGGTCAAGTACATTGTACACTTTGCAGGGGATGGAACCGACTGATGGAATGAATGAGTGAGGGCTGGAATCTTTCCTATGCTCCACTTGTCAAGCCTGTATCCTGCCATGAGTCTATGTCATCCAGAGCAAGGGGCCTCTTTCTCTGATTTCCACAGAGAAATCCCTGTGGGTCCAGTGGCGCCATCCAGATCCTTTAAAATGTTAAGAAATTTAGCCAGGCAGGTGGTGCACATCTGTAATCCCAGCACTCTGGTAGGCCAAGGCAAGGAGGATTGCAAGTTTAAGCCCAGCCTGGGCAACTTAGTGAGATATTGTCTCAAAATAAAAAGGGGTGGGGATGTAGTGCAATGCTTGGCCCTGGGTTGAATCCTAGTATCCTCCACCAAACGTTAAGAAAGCTAGCATTGAAATATGTTTCCCCCTCTTTCTCCTGCCTTCCTTCCCATAGGTCCTGAGGAATTTGACCCATTTTTCTATGGTGAGTATCAGAATTTGTGATGGGGGCACCCTAGGGCTGGATGGAAGGGTAGTTGCAGGCTCCCACAGGCTACTGCTGAAGGCTCCAGCTGCAGCTATGTGATACATGGGCCACTGGCCAGGTGGCCACGTTGGTACAGTCACATCAGCTGCCTGTGTGGAGGGAGAACCCGATTGGGGAGGGAAGTGGTCTCATACTCTCTTGGAGCCCCTTTAATGCCCCAGGCACTTCAACGAGCACTTAAAATATGTTCTAATCGCAGGCAGGTGCACTGAAATCACTAGAGAAGCAGCCAGAGAACACCTTAAAAGCAATGACACTGAGCCCAGGTCCCCTGGATTCGAGTCCTGGCTTATCCATTCCCTAGCTGTGTGGCCTTGGGCAAGTGACTTGTCTCTCTGGGCTCTTCTGTAAACAAAGGATGGCAGTAGTGCCCACCTCTGAGGCCTGTGAAGAAGAGTTACCTAGATGATGCCTTTATACCATCTTCATGGCATCGAAGCTCTACTGCACTCTGGAGGATCTAGCTGCAGTTTCTTCTGCACATACTCCTCTTACCCATTTTTGCTCACTCACACTGTTCCTTCAATATGTCAATTTTCTCCCCACCTCAGGGCCTTTGCACTTGCTGCTCTGCCAGGAATTCACCTCCTTAGCATTCCCTGCAGCTGGCTAGGGTTCCTTTTCCTTCTTCTGGCCTCAAATCAAATAATGACTGCTTGCTAAGAGAGGCCCTCCCTGACTCCCTGGCAAAAGGAGCCACACCACAGCCAGCAATGACTTGGACTTTTGAGTATTTTTTTTTTTTTTTTTGGTTTGTGCAGTTTGTTGATGAGTGCTTAATCATAATATGAAAGTCAATTGCCTGAAGCCAAAGGCCTGGCTCACAGCTGTTACAGAATGAATGCTCCACAAATTGGCATTTCAGCAAATACTTACTGAGCACATGCTCTATGCCAGGCAATGTCCCAGCCTCTTGACGACACTGCAGTCAGCAATATGGGCAAGATTGCCTTCCCTCCTTGATCTAACACTCAGTAAGAGACAGATATTCAAGTAAATAAAATGAAAATTACTTATGAGACAAGACTGTGAGAGGAGAATAACTCTCATGAAGGAAAATAAAAGAGGGAATGGAATTAGTGTTGAGAAGATGGGAAAATTCTAGGTAGACAGAGAAGGTTGAATTGGCATCTGAATAAATCTCAGAAGTTCCTCAGGGAGGAAGCCTTGTGGCTATCTAGAGAAAAGCTTTTGGGTTGAGGGGATGGCAAGTGCAAAGGTCCTGAGGCACCTGATGCACTCTGAGAACATCAAGGAGGCCATTGTGGCTGGAGTAGAGGACTGAGGGGCAGAGTGGGTTGGACTGGGGCCTTGAGGACCCTGGTGAGGATCTTGGTGTTTTCCTGGAGTGCAGTGGGAGCCAGAGAGGGAGGGCTCTGAGCTGAGCAGGACCCAGTTGCTGTGGGAAGGTCCCCTATCGTTTGGAGGCAAGACCACAGAGAAACAGACTTCAGTAGTGGAGGTGGGTGACAATGGTGGACAGGACCAGGACCAGGACCAGGGAGGAAGCAGTTGCATGAGTTCATATGAGGGAGAGGGTGGGGGAGCAGGGTGGCGAGCAGAGAGCCCAAAGGGAACTAACTGATCCTGCCGCAGCCCTGGCTCTTGTCCTCCTGTGAGCCCACTGGAAGGGCATCAGCGTGGCCTGTAACATCCCGAGTTTGGGGCCCCTGGCTGGCAGCTCTGGGTGGGTGAAGGTTGAGGCCCATCGCCGCCCTGACCTCCCTATGGTCTTCCTAGACTATGCCACGGTGCAGACAGTGGGCTTGACTCTAGCCACCATAATGTTCCTGCTGGGGATCATCATCATCATCAGTAAGTCTGGCCCTCCCTGGGCTGCCCTGGCATCCCTGGGCACCTCAGGTTCTCTGCTGGCTTTTGTCTGCATCCTGTCCTCTGTCCCTAGCTTCTCGTTCTGTCTCCATGTCTCCCAACAGGCAAGAAGGTGAAGTGCAGAAAAGCAGACTCCAGGTCTGAGAGGTCTGGCCGCGGTGGGGAGAGGGGGGTGGCGGGGCAGCCTGGGGCCTCGGTGCTGCCCTGGTAGAAGGGCCCAGAAGGCCTGACCTGCCAGACCCTTGATGCTCTTTTCTCTCTCTTTTCCTCCACAGCCCCACCTGCAAGTCCTGTAAGTCGGAGCTTCCGTCCTCAGGTGAGGTGAAAATGCACATGTGTGGTCTGGGGGGTTGGCAGGTGGCAGCAGAAAGGGCAATCCGTATGGGGACAGCCACTGAAACACCAGAGCTTGGGCCTCAACTGAGGCGCAAGGGACAGTTCCGCAGGCGGCTGAGCCTCGCGCAGGGAAGACGTCCGGCCACCAGGGGGCAGCAGGACAGGAAACATCCTGAGTCCACAGTACAAAGACTCACAGAAACAAAAGGCATCAACCTCAAAAAGCAAGAAGAAACCCATTTCCCAAGGGAGAAAGGCATAAGCCCAGGAAGGAGGGACCTGGGTGGGAGAAGGAGGTCTGCCAGCCGGGATGGGGGACCCTGCCACAGGAATGTAGAATGCTTTCTAGATTTTATCTTTCAGCTGGGCCCATCTAGGGTGGAGATGAAGAGAAAGGAAAAGAAAGGAAAAGAGAGTGGTCTTCTGAATAATCAAATCAGAATAACAAAAAGAGAGATGGATAGAATATAGATTTAAAAATTCATGTTAGGGAGCTGGGGGTTTAGCTCAGTGGTTCTGCCGCCTGCCTCACAAGCTCAAGGTCCTGAGTTCGATCCCTGGTACCAAAACAACAACAACAACAACAACAACAAAAATCACCAAAAATTCATGTTAGGGAAAGTAGCTGTGGGGATGTGGGTCGTATGAGGCTGGCGGAGAAAGGCCGGAGATGTAGAAGAGGGATACGTGGTGTAGAAGGTGGAGATGGAGGTGGGCATGGAGGAGGTAGAAAGGGAAGTTAGGAGGGGATGGAAATGAGGGGTGGGGAAAAGGTGAGTGCAGGGCGATGGCAGGTGTGAGGGAAGAGAGGGTAGAGAATGCGGCGGGTGTGTGTGTGTGTGTGTGTGTGTGTGTGTGTGTGTGTGTTAGTTTTAATTATACAAAAATATCTTGACCTGTTTTTTTGTGGAACTGCATCCTTTCCAGGGACTTTTGAAAATAAATCAAAAGACAGGAATCTCTTTGCCTCTTATATAATTGTTATAACTAAAAAGGAGAGGGGCTTGAGGAAATTGGGTGTGGAACTGCAGATTTTGGTCCGCGTTCTTTTAAGGAAATTTGAGGACATTAACACTGGGCTTTGTGGGTGCTGGTGGGGTGCAGCGTGGGTGCTCGTGTCCGGCTTTGACACCTGGGCCCAGTTAGAATCTGTGCGGAATTCTGACCACCCCCACCCCCCAGCTGAAGGACGGTCTGCAGTGGGCAGAATGAACAGGATGCAAGACACAGGAAAGGCAGGAGGGCCTGGGAGGAGATTGGGGGTGAAGAAGGGAGCGGGGTACTCCCTTTCTGGCAAGAGGACACCAGCAAAGCCCAGGCTGGCGTCGAGCGCGGGGGCTGTTTCCCTCCTTGACTTCATTCTACGGGACAGACAGCAGCCACAGTAATCTGCCCACAGCGATCAGGTAGCTGGGTGCGAGCAGGCAAGAGGTCCCCAGTGCCGGCCCCTGAGTGACAGCCCCCAGGGGTCCGGCTTCCGGGACCTGGGGATTCGGAGCCGGAGGGCTCTGGGGAGGGGAACCGAGCGCTGACACAGCCCCTCCTCTTTCCCCAGCTCCTGGTGGCGGCGGGGTGTAAAACGAGCCCCGGGAACCTCCGCTGCTGTCCCCGCCTGACGCGGGAGCCTGAGGACCGGGTGAAGGCGGTGGGGACCCCAGCCCCGCGCCGGGGACGTTCCCCCGAATGAGCCGCCCCACCCACCCAAAGGCTGGAGCCGCTGCACCCCACTGTCCCTGCCCAGGCCTTGGCAATGACGATCCCCCAAAAAGCCTGTCCACACCCCAGACCCAGGGACTCAGGCCTCCAGCTCCTGGGATCTGGGAGTCCACCCCCAGCTCCCCGGGAACCCCGTGTGCTGCTCCCCCAACCTCCTTGTCTCCTTCCGGAGCATCCGTGCCCTGGCCCCCGGGTGTCCTCGTCTTGAGCTTAATAAATGTGCATTTGGTTTTTCGCCCTGTTCTGTCTGTGTGTTCTCATCTGTGGGCACACAAGGATGGGGGCTGCAGAACTGAACGGGGTCGCTGTCCCCTGCGTGCCCAGAGTAGTCCTCCTCCTCCGTCCCCAGGCCCCAGTCGCCTTCTCCTCGCTCCCACACCCCTCCCTCCACACCTCCGGAGAGGCCCCTCCCCCTCCCCCACCTCCGCCCGCCCCCGGCGGGGTGGGTGGAGGCCACCCCAGCCCCCCATCGTCCTCCGCGTCTCCCCCGCCTGCTCCCACCCGGGGCTCCGAAGCCAGGAAACCCAAGAGGAAATGACTGCGCCCGTCTGGGTCCCCGCCCGCCGCGCTCTCCTGGCCACACCCTCGCCTGGACGCTGCTCCCACTGCCCTGGCCCCTCGCGGCCGCCGCTCGGCTCCAGACCCCCGGCTCTGATGTAAGTCGCCCCTCGCTGCTCCGACGCCCCTTAGCCCTTCTTACCCGCGCCGGCTCAGGTGGGCAGGGGACCGGCCGGGCGGTGCCTCTCCGCCTCCCATGCATGCCCACTTCCCTCTGCTAGCCGGCCGCGCGGGTCCCGCCTCCTGCCTCAGTCTCCCCAGCTCTGCTCCATTCCTGGCACGCAGCCCCTTTCTGAGCTGCCCACATTCGGCTCCGTGCTATCTGCAGTGGCGCCGGACACCCGCTCACTTTTTCCCCTGAGATGGAGAGTGCATTACTCACCCTTCCTCTTGCAGCTCCTTGCAGCTCCGGCCCTGTGCCCCCAGGCAGTGGGGGAGCCCTCATCTGCTCGGCCCAGAGTCCCTCTCCCTTGCCCTGCCAGCCCTCCCGAGGTTCAGTGCGTGGCTGGGGGAGCAGCTTGGGGCATTTGTATCCTTGGCATCGCTGGGGGCCCAGGTGGGCCCGTGGCTTCTTGTGTTTTTTTTTTTGGATCTACAGGAAGAGGAAGGGGTGGAGGCTTGGGATCTCCCCCTCTGAGACCCACACTGTGCCCCAAAGGCTGCTTTTGGTCAGCCCTGGCAGCAAGGGGGCCCTAGAGCCAGAGGTGCCAGCTTCCGGGAGGAGGGAGCCCGGGCGGCAGGACCTCCAAGGGCTGCCCCAGGCGGTGCCTCAGCTACTCCTGCTCCTGCTCCTGCTCGCCCCACAGATGTTGCCCTCCAGTCATCTGTGTCTCCTCACCATCGTTGGCCTGATTGTGCCCACCAGAGGTAAGACCCTGCCCTGCAGCCCCGGGGACTGGTGAGATTGGATTCTCTATCTTATCTCCTCAATCCCCCTAGTGAGCCTGCGCCAGGAAGTGGGGACCCCTAGCCAGGTTTGGGGTTACACCCTCTCTGGATGCCTCAGAGCTTGGTGGTTGCTTCTAGAGAGTCTGCCTGGAGCCTTTCCTGCTGAGCACCCTCTGTCTCAGCTCCAAGAAGGACTCAGCCTGTTTGATTTGGCCAGGAGGTTGGTGTCAGTTTTCTATTAGGCAGCCAGGAAACCTGGGTTCTCAACACAGTGGCTCCCTGGATCTCCGGGTGATACGCTGTAAAGTGAAGGTGGGCCACTAGTCCAGAGAGTAGGCGCATGTCAACCTTGCCAGCAAAGTGTTCCTCAAAGGGGTCACTTCGCTGGCCTCTGCAGATGCCTTCCACAAGGCAGGTGGTGTGCCCCTTGGCTTGTGTGGGCATTGGCTGTTATACATACTGTCATGCCCGTTTTATGGATGAGGAAACTAAAGTTCAGGGCCAGAATTACAACTGCCCCGCCTTTCCCTTAACCCAGACCACTTGCTCCATTGAAAATGCCCCCATTTCTCTTTGGTTTTCCTGTATTCTTTCAGTTATTCACCTCTGGGTGTGATGGTGCATGCTTGTAATCCCAGCACTCAGGAAGCTGAGGCAGGAGATTGCCACTAGTTTGAGTCCAGCCTGAGATACATAGTGTAAGTTCAAGGCCAGCTGCCTTAGTTGGCTCCAAGGCAGAAATGCCACGGTAGAAGGGTCTAGCAGAGGAAAAGGTGCTCAACCCATGGCAGCCAGGAAGCAATGAGAGAAGGGAGGAGCTGGGGAACAAGAGGACACCCTTCCAGGCCCCGCCCCCTGGACCACTTCCAATCAGGCCCCACTTCCTAGCCACATTCAGCTGTGAATTCAATGACCTTGTTGCAGAAATTTAAAAAACAAAGAAAGAAAGGTATTCATTAAGTGTCTACTACGCAGCATTTCTGAGCACCGATGGAAAAAAGCAGTAGATATTATAAGGTCAAAGATAGACAGTAACCAACAAGTCAGCAAATTGTGTAGTAGTCTAGAAGGTGATAGCACTCTGGGGAAAATAAAGGAGAGGAATGAAGGTTGTTCAAACAGGCTGCTGTCAAGGAACGCTTCCCAGAGAAGGATGACACTGGGGCAGAGGGAATGAGCCATGCTGCTACCTGGGGCATGAGCTTTGTCCTGCATGGCTGGGTTGGATAAGCCAGGGACCGAGTGGAAAGAGGAGGAGACAGAAAGGTGATGGAGACCAGAGGGAGGGGCAATGGGCCAGTTGAGACCTCAGCCTGGGCAGGGCTCAGAGCCCAGAGGGCCTGCCCTGACTCAGGTGGGCACAGGCTCCCTCTGGCTGCAGGGGGAAGCACACTGGGGAGGCAGGGCCAGAGCAGGAGACCAGGGAGGAGGCTGCTGGAACTTCTGGGTGAGAGGGACAGAGACTGGAGCAGGGCAGTGGATGTGTTCAGCACTGACTCTGTGTGTGTGACACGTGGGGAGACTGTTTTCCTACTCAGTCTCCTTTCACCCTCTCTGTAGCCCTGTGAAGTAGATCCGGTTATAATCCCCACTGTGCGGACAAGGCGACTGAGGCTTGCTCCAGGTCCCACGGGAAGGAAGTGGGAGCAGCATTTATAACCAGGGTCCTGGCTGGCCCTAGCACCAAAGGCTTATTTATTAGACCAGCCCACAAGGATGGGGTAGAGAGAGGGGGCTGAAGGAAGGTCCCCAGGGTGTTATGGTGTAGATCTAAAATGTTCCCCCAAAGCCTTGTGTGTGTGGAAGGTGACTGGATCTTGGGATGCTCTACTCATCAGTGGATTCATCCACTGGTGAGTTCATAGCTGAACGTGCCTAGGAGGTGGGGCCTGATTGGGGCGTGGAGGTGGGTCACTGGGGGCGTGGCTTGAAAGGGTTTATTCTTTTCCCCAGCTCCTCCCTTCTCTCATTACAGCTGGGCTGCCATGGGTTGAGCATTTTTTCTTCTGTTAGGCCCTTCTACTATGGCATTTCTGCCTTGGATCCAACCAACCGTAGATAAAACTGTGGCCAAAATAAACCTTCCCTCTTTTAGGTTGCAGGTGTGGGAACTCTGTCCCAGGGGCAGGAAAGTAGCTAAGACATGTATGGGGCATGAGCATAACGTACAACACTTCCAGGATCACAGATTGATACAGTTGAATTTAAGTGGCTCCAGAAGTAGACAGGACCCATGGAGTGGCCCCCAGTGTTTCCAAAAGTTGGTCAGAATGAGAGCAAAGGTGAGAAAAAGGGACCAGAGGCTCCCTCCTGATCTCACCTTTGATTCTCCAGGACACGGATTGGAGAACGTCACATCCCTTTCGACGGTGGATCCAACTACTCTGAACACTCATGTTTTAACACAAGTGCCAGGTGAGGAAGGGGAAACAGATCTGTCAAGATAAATCTCAAACTTGGCCCAAAGTGGAGAATCTATGAACTTGTGTAACTAAAAAAAATCCCAGGATAGGCCTTCAGGCATGGCTTAATCTAGGGGCTATCAGGGAAAGCACCCCCTCTTAGTTCTGTTTTCTCAGTATTGCCTTCATTGTCAGTTAGCTTCTCCTCCTATGGGGCCAAAATGGCCCCCAGAGGTCTACTGAGTATCCAAAAGCAAGAGAATTTCTACCTCCCCAATCCATCAGATGTCCCAGAGTTGAGTGTCATTGGCCAGCCTTGGGTGATGTGCCCACCTATGAGCTGATCATGTGAGGACAGGCACAGATGACTGATTGGGTAGGCCTGGGTCCTATGACAACCTCCAACAGATGGTACCAGCCCCACTGAATCAGGGAGGATGCTCCTCAAAGGAGATGCCAGGGCTCTTATTGGATGGAGCAGGTGGGTGCTGGTTCGTGGTTAAAGGTATTTGGAAAACTGAGCTGAACACCAACCTAGGAAGGACTTCTCCGAGTCTTAGTAAAACTAACTGGCAACAAGATGCCCAAGAAGGAGCCCTTAGCATGGTTGATGTAGGAGTCCAGGTCTTGAGGTAGGGGAGATCCAGGCATCAAGATTGAGGTCTTTAGCAAAGTAATGGCTAGATTACTTCAGTCATTTCATTACATCAAAACCAAGATGCTATGAGAATCCCCCAATCTTTATCTGTGGTCTTTCTCTACTTTTCTTCTCTCCCTAACTTTCTGTTTTGGGATGCCAGATGCAGACCACCTAGAAGTCCAGTCCACTCCTCCGACCTCCAGTGGGCCTGCTGATGGTGAGTGGGCAGGGGTAGAGGGCAGGGCCGAGTCCCCGCTTCCTGTGCCGCTCTGGATTTCTGTCTGGTCACTTTAGTCCTGACTCCCCTAGCCCCCACCCCTGCTCTGTGTCCCCCAGTTTACTTTGTGTTGGAGCATCCAGTCAACTCAATTCAGTTCTAAAAGACAAAACAAAACACGCTTTGAAATTGTAAATTATAACATGCACATAGACAAGTACAAAATCCAGAAGTCTACAACTGAACTATTTACCCCAAATTGAACACCAATGTCACTACTGCGAAGGTCAAAGAATAGAACTTTGGAGACAACCCTAGAAACTCTTCCCATTCTTTCTTTCTATTCTCTGTATCTTCATTTTTTTAAAAAGTTTTCAAATAATTTTAACTTTTTAAGAATATAATTCAGGGCTGGGGGTTTAGCTCAGTGGTTCCGGCCCCTGCCTCACAAGCGCAAGGTCCCGAGTTTGATCCCCGGTACCAAAAAAATAAAATAAAATAATACAAAGAGGGCCCCCATAGGGGCTGGGCACAGTGAGCAAAGTCACGCCCTCCTGATGAGCACAGTGGTGGCTTTCAGGGCACATGAGCAACCTTGTGCTTTCCCCTTACACAAACACCTACAGCACTTACTATGTGAGGGGCACAGGTTCCAGTGTTGTACCCGCATCACCTCCTTCAATCCTCACCCAAACACTATGAGATCAGAGTAACCATTATCTCCATTTTACAGTTAAGGAAACAGAAACTCAGAGGAACTTCTCCGAGACCCCACAGCAAGTTGGGCACACAGCTGAGTCAGAGACTGAGACCCAGCCACCAATGGGAACCAGTGCTTTTTTTCTGGTGACGGATCCAGGGCCACAGGCCAGCAGCAGGGAAGGTAGAGCATGGGGCTGAGCAGAGCAGCCTCCAGTTTTTATTTTATTTGATTCCCTATCTAAATCAGCATTTCTCATGTCCACTGCTCAAACCACCTGTTTCAGCTGCAAGTAGATTTTTAAAAATTGTTTTGATTTGTGGTCAAAGGTGTTTGGGAAACTATGGGTTAAACATATTTGTTTATGGGAGGACCTCTCAGAGCCTCAATAAAGCTAATTTTCACCAAGCATCCATAAGAGGGAGCATCCTAGGGACTCTTTTGTTCAGTTCCCTTCTCCGGGCTGATGCCAGGAAATGGGGCTATGGATGGTTCCTTGGTATCTGTCTTATCTGTCTTCTTCATGTTAGGGCAGGAGGTTTTCAGTTGTGAAATACAAAACACTCGATTTGAAAAAAAACATCAGATGTATTGACTGTAGAAGTTCTGTAGACCCTAGGGGAATGCCATTTCAGGCAGAGCTGAATCAAGGAGCTTAAGCATCATCATTATGACTGCATTGCTGTTGTCTTCAGTCTCAAAAAAATTGAAAAAAAAAATAGAAAGAGCTGAGGGTAGCACAGAGGTCCTGGATTCAATCATATATGTGTATATATATATATGGAGAGAGAGAGAGAGAGAGAGAGAGAG